GATGGAGCACTCGAACTGTCAGAGGTGATGTAATTCTGTTTGGCTGTGTGTTCTCTGTCTGAGCTCTCTGCCCCAATAGGAGAACAGGTCTGGGATTAAATGTGTTTAGTGTGTGGCCCAGATCAGCCTTTCTATTTGATACGTGGATCAGTTTGACCTCTGCATTTGATGTTCAGAAAAGCCAAGCCTCTTTTTGTTCCAATAGAAAACCTCTAATAGAAAAGGCAACACTCTGGTTAATGTTCAGCTTTAATTATTCAACAGTCAGAATAAATGTGACATATTATCTTTGAGCTGACAGGAGTGATTCCCTGAAATCATTTCAGTTGAAAAATACTTTTATCTCCTGAAGGGAAATTAAACATTAATGTAACTCACAGTTACATCTCTTTTGTAGAAGTTACATCTACAAAGCTCATGTAAAGGTTTTACAGATGTAACTCAGGGGTGCCCAAAGTCTGTCCTCGAGGTCCGGGTTCCTGCATGTTTTAGTTCTCTCCAAGTGGTAGTAACAACCTCGTCAGCATGTCAGTGTTTTTCGTAGGCCTCTAATGAACCATCATTTGATGCAGGTGCGTTAAACCTGCATCAGAGAACTAAAACATGCAGGTTGCCAACCCTCGAGGACCGAGTTTGGGCACCCCTGATGTAACTCATATATGAAAGATCTGAAGCAGTCAGATCTTTCCTGAAAGATCTTCTGTAGCAGTTAGTATTACAGCAGTACTAAAGAAGCCTCTGACTGATATGTATGGAAGTATATTAATGTGTGAAAGTATTTGTGTCTAGTTGTCTAATCATAGAGAAAAATCCTGTAAGGTTTCAGGATTGTAGATCTTTTTTCAGTCTTTAATGGATGCGAATAAATAGTTACACACAAGTCCAGATTCTCAAGTACAAGAACCCAAAAACTTAAAAATACAAAAATATATTGCTCAAAAAAAATAAAGGGAACACTCAAACAACACAATATAACTCCAAGTAAATCAAACTTCTGTGAAATTAAACTGTCCACTTAGAAAGCAACACTGATTGACATTCAATGTCACCTGCTGTTGTGCAAATGGAATAGACAACAGGTGGAAATTATTTTCATATTTATTTAATTCATTCAGATCTAGGATGTGTTATTTGAGTGTTCCCTTTATTTTTTTGAGCAGTGTATATTGCTATCATTGTTGGGCCTGATAATGACAACAAATATTCATACTCATACTTGTAAAAGCAACTCAATACTTCAAACTAATTGCACTTTTGTCCCTGATTTTCATCCTGGCTGCAAGTTATTTGCCAGCCGTCCAAAGAAAAAAAAGAAGAGAGGAAGAGTTCTTATGTGGATGAACAGCGGCAGTCTACAGTGTTACAGTACTCGAGACCGGTCTTGGTCTCGAGTAAAATTCAAGCAATAACATGACTTACCAATTCCCTGTTTCTGTTACTCCCCCCTCCCAACCTTTCATTCTCGCTCCAAGACATGTGCAGTGGTTTTCTTTGAGTGGCAGAAGATTCTATTTTCAAATTTCATGATTTTTATTCGTTCTTTCCAAATAAATCCAGTACAGACAATTTGTAACAACATTTACAATTTCATATTACTACAAATGCACAATTTCATTTACACAAAAAAAAACAAAATAAAAAACAGGAAACTGTTATTTTATGTCATATAAACTGTTTAATTATTTTCACAACTTTCAGTAGATCATCTGGCACTTTCCACACCTCATCCTCACTCTTTTTTTTTCCCAGACTCCTCTTCCAAATATATTGTCTGACTAACGAACCCACAATCTTTATGACATTTATTTTTGTTGTTTCATATTTTTTATATATCAGAATATTTCTTACTTTCCATAAGAAATTAAGATGTATGTAAGGTGTATTGTAATTAACAGTTAGGTATAATACACCAAAAAAGTTCATTTCTTTACCATTCATCTTTTAACAAACCATGGGATATCTTTTCATAAGTTAAATCCTCCTTGCACAAGTTGTTCAACCAAGGTGACATTAGTATGAAAGGGCATCTCCAAAACAGATGTCAAGTTGTCTCGTCCTCACCACATCTGAGCCTGGGGCATTGGGGACTTCTTGTACAGTGTCTCCTGTACAAGAAGGCCCTTGTGGGTAACATTGGTTGGCAATTTGCCAGGCTAAGTCTTTATGTAAGTTTGACAAGTTTTTGTTGTGAACAGTTCTCCATGTTTTTTTGTTGTTGTTTATTTTTTTAACATTTTCTTCATTCAGTTTATCAATTGGTGTCAATCAAGGCAGATAACGTATTCTCTATTGTTGTTTGTTTTATTGTTTCTGGTATAACCTCTTTTAAGTCACATTTCAATGCCTGGACCACTATTTGGAAGATTGAAGGACATCTATCTGAAAAAGGTATGTGTAAAGTAACCCTCTTGCCCCACACCTTCAGCACACAACCTCCCAACCAAAATCTGGTCACAGAAATAATTTGAATCTGACAAAAGTAATAATGGAAAATTCTATGGAAATGAGCACATAAAAATCAAACATGCTTCTACAGAATTATTTAAAAAATAAACTGGACAGGCCTGGACAAAAAATGATGGTATCCCTGAAAATAAATCCATCCATCCATCCATCCATCCATCCATCCATCCATCCATCCATCCATCCATCCATCCATCCATCCATCCATCCATCCATCCATCCATCCATCCATCCATCCATCCATCCATCCATCCATCCATCCATCCATCCATCCATCCATCCATCCATTTTCTTACATCTTTGTCCCTCATGGGGTCAGGAGGGACCCCATGTTTGATCTTTACTGGTAAAGATCAATTTACCATTGATCTTATTGCTAAAAACTGAAATGCATGAATCGTACATCATATGGAGGCTCTATACACAACATAGACACAATCATGTGTGTTGTAACTGTGTGCATATCTTTTTTGGATCAGTACAACTGACAGAACATCGACTGTCAGCCATCTTGTTCAGACCATAGGTCATCACTAATCATGCTCCTAATGCTTTTTGATGTTTAGAGTTCCTGTGAAGCCATGTGTTGCAGACAGTAATTGATAGGTGCTGACAAGATGTGGACTGTGTCAGACGTAAAAAAATGAAACTTCTCAAAGTGAAGAATCAGGTTATCTGTCTTGGAAGCCTTCCCTTTTCTGTCTGTGTCAGCCATCAGCTCCTCTTTTTCTCTTCTTTTTTCAGGCTTTTGTTAGGGAAATGAGGAGAGATTGACCCCACTCTCATTTCAATGCCACCCGCTGCCCGCTGGGAGAAAAAAAATGACAAGCTGAAAGATTCAATGAGACAAAGATATTTTTTTAACACTGAAAATACCTCCAAATGAATTTGCATTATATTAAATCTATGTGCAACATTTAAAGTATGACAAGATGTTCAGACACGGAGTACCAGCTGCTTGTCTCTGAACACGTGCCTCGTTCCTGGTGAAAGTATGACATTTCTGTTCTAGTTGTATTCTTGTTAGCCTTATTATGCTAAACTGCTTATGTTTTATTGCAATGAATGCACTCAGCTGCATCACATCACCGACTTCCCTGAAACTCTCTTATACTGAGCACGTTTGTAGTGAAAAGAACAACTCTCTTACTACAGTGGAAGACAAGCCTCAGTATGGTAAACGACCTGTCGTTTGTACAGTGCTTCATCAAGTCCAAATGATCCTATTTATTTATAGTTAGCATGCGTGAATCAGCTGAAACAGCTGTGTTTTGCATCCTGTTCTGGGTTCTTCTGTAACTTCTTCGATGAGTTGTTGAGGAATTGTTGTTGAGAAACGGAATGAAACGGAATTTGGATGGGAGACCTGAAGGTTGTCCCATGAATCCACAGAGCCTGAACTGGAGGTCATTGAAACTCTGGAGGTTGGAATTGAAACCACAGTGGAAGTGAATGGAAAATGCCTTGAGATTTTGACCAGGAGTCCCCTGAAACACACAGATCTGCATGTCATCCAGGACATTGCTGGGACCCACACAGGACATTGAAATATCGAGCCAGATGCTACAAAGCCCCCATAGCAGACCAGAAGGATGGTGATGTAAACTCTTAAATTTCTGGGGCCTGTGGAGAAGTGAACCTGTGAAGAGCACAGTAACTGCAGTGTGGGACAGGGATGGACACTTCCTGGTCCCTGGTCTGTCAGAGAAACTGGAAACAAGATGTCATGGCTCGGGCTCCAGGCATGCTCAGGCTGGACGACATGTAAAGGAGAATGGTGAGTATGATGCTGCAGGAGAGGATGATAATGATAAAAATAAAGGAACTGATACAGGGGATGAGGCAGACAATGATGCTGATGGTAGAAGGAACAATGACCATGACAATGAGAGAATTTGGCACATTCAACATTCTTCTTTCTTCTGTCACAAATTTCAAAGTTAAGTTTTGTAATCAGTAAGTGATTAGATGTTTTTAGTTAATGCTGCAAATAACAAAAAGGGGGTGGAGTGTCACATCCCATTAAAACATGTAGCTTACATAAATATATATGGCACTTTATGATGTATTGTCAGAATGAAAAGAGCCATCTGTTAATTATGGATCATATTTACATCCCATTATTTTAACTTAACCCATTCAAACCCAGCGGTTTCATACATGTGAGAGTATGATTTCTCCCCACTCTGAAAACCTGAACAGCAGCTGAACTGAGCAGGAAATTTCTCTTGAAGACAGATCTTCTGCACAGAGTTAATTTCAGTTCTCCTCGTTAACCTTTGCATGGTAGACGCTATCTGTTAGAACACACTCCAATCATAAAGTTTAATTTTAAACTTAGAAATAGTAACAATATTATTTTCAACATATTTTGGGCATTTTATTTGATTGCGGAAATAATTTGCACAAATATAAAGCCAGCTCAGTAGAAGAGTCTGAATACCATCTCGTGGCTTGTGCAACCTTCCTAGGAATTTAAAATTGTTTTAATTTTTTGTAAAAAGCAGCATGGCAGCAGCTCAGTTCCATACTTTTTATTTATATTTAACACAATCCTTTAGCCTTTGACAGTGATTTCTTTTAAATCTATGTGACAAACAGCTTCAGTCCTGGAGAATGTAAAGCTATCCTTCCTGGCTCTAATTTAAAAGGAAATGTGTCTTTGGGTCTTAAAACTTAAAAAGATGCTAAATTCTGGCTTGCACATATTTAGCTGTGGCAGATTTGCCCATCATATATAAACCTATACACACCAATGCAGTTCTTACAGTTTTATTGTGGAAACCCTGTCAGAACTCTTAAGACAAACATTTTCACACTTGAAATTAGAAACCAATTTACATCTTTTGGACACCGACGCTTTCAAATCTGAATCATGCTTGTTCACAAATATGTCATGGTTTACAATACCAAACATGTATTACAAGAATCCTTATTTTAAAGTCCTGTACATGTCTGAGGTCAAGGCTTTTTGGAGTCTGTTAAAGAAAAAACAAAACACAGCAGACAGTACACTTTCAGTTTCATTAAGGTATTTTTATCCAGGCAGAGACACTCGCCACAAATTAAGTAGCATGTAAAGATTATCAAATGGCATTAGAGGTAAAATATTTCCCACCTTCCTGATACACCAGAAATAACACAACATTTTCTGTTGTATAACAGGCTCCAAATTCTGTCCGTTTTTAAGAACATTCAGAGTCAGAGGATTTTCTGGAACGCAACCAAAGGAGACTTTGTCTTTTTGCATTTGCTGAGCTTCAGCCAGCCCTCAGCAGCAGCAGTTTGGCTCTGATAGTCAGTCTGACAGTGATTGACCTCTCTCATACCAACGAATCCAAAGTCCTGTTCCTGAAGCCACCACAGGTGGCCATGACGTCACTGCAGGCGTGGCCAGTACTGAGACATTTCTGCTTCACTTCCAGGAACTTGGACTGGAACTGAGATGCCAGGAGAAATCAGACCTAAAAAAAGAATAAACATTTTATAAAAAAACTAGCAAATGGTGGATTGTGATCTAATGTAACTTTCAAAATAATCTTAAAGAAACATTCATGAATTTAATGATTTTCTTTTTCACAACTTGATATCATGTAGGATATTTGGTAACACATTGCTTGACGGCGTCTGAATACACATGACATAACACCTGTCATGAACATGAGTAAGTCTTCATAGATATTTATGACTTTCATCACAAAGTGTCATTTGGTAAATCATGACACTTTTAATAGAAAGTTGGCATTATTCAAAATGTCTTTTTATAACAACTTGACATAAACTAATAATAATAATATGTCATAAATATGTCATAATAATAGTCATAATACTGTCATTAAGTGCTATTACACTATCAAAAACGTTAACAAATAGTAATTATTTCTCCCTTCCTGAAATAAAGCAGAACACGATTTCATTAAGCTTTAAAAACAGTCATTAAAAATTCCTCTTACATCAAGTGGATTAAGAAGCACCAGGTATGACGATGTCATTAAGTGTTATTTCAGTGCCAAATGCTATATTAACAGTCATTAATATTAACTCTTGCCTCAAGTCAAGTGAAACAAGAAGCAACAGTTATGATGATGTCATTGTCATTACAGTGCCATTAGTACTATCTCTTACCTACATAATTTTTAAAGTTTAATCGGTAATACTTTTACAACAAATTTATGATAGATCATAATTTCTTGGTTAATGTCAAGTTGTCATAAAGACATTTTGAATAATGTCAACTTTGTATTAATAGTGTCATGATTTACCGAATGACACTTTATCACAACAGTCATAAATATTCATATAGACTCCATGTTCATGACAGGTGTTATGTCATGTTTATGACACTGTCATATCAGTTTTATTCACACCCCATCAAGTAAAGTGTTACTGGATATTTATTTATTTATTTATTTTTTAAAATCAACATTATAAAGTTGAATATTTTTGGTCACTGATTTCAAAAAGTGTAGCTCATACATTAAAGGAATGGTCTCAAGCTCCATTCTTTGAGGACCTGCGTCTTTTAGATGAAGAAAGGTCCAGTCCAGGATTAAGGTTAGAGAGCTCTGCTAGTGAACCAGGTGTCCTGAAGCAGAGACACATGTAAAGGTTACAGGTCACCGGCGCAGAAGGACTGGGGTTTGAGACCACTGCTTTAAACAGATTCTTACACAGAGTGAAATATTTCAAGACTTTATTGCTTGTAACTTTGATGATTGTGGCTGACAGATGCTGCAAACCCAAAATCCTGCCTCAAAATTTTTTTATATCAAGTAAAATCAATATAAAAAGCATATCTTAAACAGGAATGTCAGACTTCTAAAAAGTATGTTTGTTTCTAGTCACCTAGTCCCAGGTCTGGGCTCGTTTTGCATGAATTACTGCATCAGTGCAGCCTGTCATGGAGGTGATAAGCCTGTGCTTCTACTGCGGTGAAGGGAAAACAGATTTCTTTGATAGCAGCCTTGGCCATCTGTATTGTTGACTAATGTGCCTTTCTGGCGTATGCAATTACTCTAGCGTAGCATCAGTGAATCTGTGATTGACCTCATGGTCTGCTGAAGAAATCAGTGGACGCGCATTCCTAGATTAATTTAGCCTGGCTTGACGAAGCTGCATGTGAGCCTGATTTGGTCTTTGTGAAACGGATAAACTGATGGTGTTATGTCAACCTGGATTTGTCCCTTATCCTGGATTTCATAATCCTACTTTTGTTAACCAGCCCTCTGATGCAATGCATTATTTGCACTTACTTAGATGTTCTGAGTTTGAGAATAGCTCTTTCTACTATCATAGCTTTTGTGCATGACAATCTTGGCTAAAACAATTTTACATTTATGCTTCAAATCAACAACTAAAACCCATTGAATAAAGTTTATTTTTAGACCAACTATGTATCAGTTTTAGCCTGGATGTATACACATCTATTTGGTGTTGACTGCATGTATGTTTAGCAAAAATATGTTCACTGGGAGTCCTTTTGTAACTTCACACTCTGATGATAAGGTTGTTGTTCTAATAAATAAAATCTTATAAAACATGAAAACCACATGATTTATTTTCCTTTCAGTAGTATGTATGCATACTGTGCTTTCAAGACAGGCAGTGAAGAGGAGGTAATAATTATACTAACTTCTTGCTCAAAGGCAGACTTAAGAGCTGTGGTGGTTCCTACCTGTTGAAGATGTTGTGGAGGACGTCACTGACTGGCTGGTGATGTGTTGCTGCATATGTGGAGGAGTATACGTCTGATAACTGCGGCCATTTACAGAGGGACTGTTGGGCAGCATGCAGGAATAAGAGGTCTGGTTTGAAGCCTGGAAATAGAACATTCTGCATTAAAGCTGGGGAACTGAATGCCAAGATGATGTACTTAGACAAATACTTAATACTTTATTACAGTTTTTTTTTGTTGTTGTTTTTTTACAGAAAATTTCAAATTTGGCACACATCCCTATACTCTTGGATTGGAGTTGCCATTCAAAACTCTCCTGTGCAGATCGGTCTGCATGTTTTCTCCAGTGAGCACTCTGATCATCTCCAAACACTTAAAAGAGATTTAAAAGTGGAGGTCTAGTACATCAGATCACATTTATACCAGTTTGCTAGTAAATCCTTGAAAATGAAATGTTATTATTATCCATTCATTCACTACTTGTATCTACTTTAATATCTAATATCTGACAAAACAACAACAACAATAAAAAAAAAACAATGGCCCTAAGAAAAGCGAGGGCCCAGTGAACAATGGATTTCACTGAACAATGTTTTCTTTTCCGTGATCTTCTGGCGCCCTCTCTGCCACAGATTTACCTTTACCCATATGGTAATATCACAAAGATTTATGAATCTTTGTAAGAAGCAAAACATAGTCCAGTGATTATCATCACACATATATGGTGTTCTTCTGGTATGATATATACAATATGTGATAATCTTACTTGCATGGGCAGGCTGGCGGCCATGCTGAAGCTTGGCATTGTTAGGCCATATGTATTGGACAGAACTGGATCCGATCTTCCTATTATGGATCCTGAAGAAAATGTCACTAGACAGAAAGAGTCAAACAAAGAGATTGAGTGACAAGCCTGGATAAGAGGACAAGCAAAAATAATATGGCTCCAAAATTAGACTGCATCAGCATAAAATTAAAGAAAGGAGAGGAAAAACTTTAGTTGCTTTTAATTAGAATTACATTTATGATGTTATTTCAGTTTTCCTATGTGTGTTTACTTAAGTACAGACTTAGTACTTAGAGCTTAATTGCTTCTTAGCAATTAAAAGAAAAAACAGATTTGATGGAGTTAACCTGCAAGGTTACCTAAACACTTGCAGTAATATGTCATTCATCTGAAGGATCAAGTGTTTTGTCTGCATAATAAAGACTAATTTCACAATAACAATAATAAAAAAGAAATAAATTATCTATTTAAAAATTACTTTTTATGTCATGTTGACCATGTAATATACTTCTGAAAAGCCTACCGTTCTTTTTCTAACACACTTCAGATGGATTGAAGTCACAGTGAAGTTTTGCTTCCTCACTTACCCCAGCCTAAACATTCACTATGGCAGCCAAGCAATTTAAGAAGTAGCAATAAATGTATTTGCATTGTCTGCTGGAAACAAGTTTCTGTAAACTGGATTTGGAAGATTCAAATCAAAATCAAATCAAATTTTATTTGTATAACACATTTCAGCAGCAAGGCATTTCAAAGTGCTTTACATCATAAACACAAGAACACAAAGTCATGCAACATACAATAGACAATACATTGTTATATATTACATTTCAAATACAATTCTAAACAGGTGTGTTTTTAGTTGCGATTTAAAAGAAGTCAGGGTTTCCGCTGTTTCACAGTTTTCTGGAAGTTTGTTCCAAATTTTTGGTGCATAGATGCTGAAAGCTGTTTCTCCTCTTTTGGTTCTGGTTCTGGGGATGCAGAGCAGACCAGAACCAGAAGACACTGAGAGATCTGGAAGGTTGATACAATAACAGCAGATCTTTGATGTATTGTGGTATTAAACCGTTCAATGATTTGTAAACTAACAACAGTATTTTAAAATCTATTCTTTGAGCTACAGGGAGCCAGTGGAGGGACTTTAAAACTGCTGTTATGTCTCTATCTTCCTGGTTTTAGTGAGAATGTGAGCAGCAGCATTCTGGATCAGCAGCGTTCTGGATCAACTGCAGCTGTTTGATTGATTTGTTGGACAGACCTGTGAAGACGCTGTTGCAATAATCAATGCGACTAAAGATAAACGCATGGATGAGTTTCTCTAGATCTGGCTGAGACATTAGTCCTCTAATCCTGGAGATGTTCTTCAGGTGATAGAAGGCCGACTTTGTGAAGAAGATGCAGATAATGCTATGCTGATCATAATAAGGTGACTGCATCTGGAAGGAACAATGAGTTGATAGCGTCTTCCACTCTTCTCATCAATAGAGGCATCCTCAATGCAGAAAGACACTTTCAACCTTCAAGATAACCTACAACCAGTGGAAATCCCATGGATCTACACTCATGGACTGAACTCTGTCCTCCAGAATTTGAGTGGAGAGGATTTAGTGGTCTGTTTGCAGTCCTCTTTACGAGGCTGCCTTCCTCTTTATCAGAGATGAAATTGTTAAAGAGTTTTCTAAAGTAGATCTCTCCTTGACTCAATAAAAAATAATAATGATAATAATACATTTCACCGTTAAATTGAGTTAATTTCCTGGAATTATGTAAAACAAAACAGCACAAAGCAGACAATGTTGTTAGTAATTGTTGTTAATAAATAGTTTTAATGAACAGTTTTTATTAATAGCAATGCTTCCTTCACTGGCAGATCAATTGTTCTTTAGACAAGAACTGAGTAACTAAATTCTGTTGGATAAACCAGAAATGAATCACTTTGCTCTTGTTGTGGTTGGTGTCAGTTTAGTATTCACAGCAAACAGTAGAGTGTTTGCTGTGATGAACTGTTTGTCTCATTTGGTACCTGGTGCTGAAGGCTGAGCTGGAGATGAGTAAGCACTGCTGCTAAAACTGCTGTTGATGGGAATATGGCTGGAGGAGTTCAAGACCTGCCGACGTTGATTCCTTAACTTCTCCTCTCTTCTCCACTTTGCACGTCTGTTTGAAAACCAAACCTACACAGTACAAAAAAATAGGAATTGAACAAGAATTAGACTAGTTCACCATGATTAACATCCAACCCCATTTATACAAAACTCTGAAGCCAGAAGAGACCCTCTGTTTGTATCTTTGTGCTATGAAATGAAAAAACCTGGAATAAGGACCTAGAGTTGATTCTATTCAGTTATGACTGAGAGTCTATCAGTAAACCGATGCCAAAGGAACAGCAGTTCACGTTACAGCGTCTGAAGGAAATGATTCAGAATGAAAGTGAATTGTGCTTAAAGACAGAAAAAAATCCAAATTGTTCTAAAATATCTATGGTAAAAATGTTGATGCTACTATGAAAAAAATATATAAATTCTTTTTTCTGTACTAAAATGGACTAAATGAACTGATTAAAATATACTTACGGTAACAGGTTATTGTTATTTTCTATGTTTGCTTGTGTGCTCATTTTTAACAAGTATCTTCACAAGTTTCTATTTTTCAATTATGAAATGCATTTCTGCCAAAGGTGTACTCACAACACAAATCAATGGGTTTTTTTTCAGACAAAAAAGCACCAGGAAAAAATTCTTCTGATTATTTTGGAAGAGCAAAATGACCAAGTTGTTTTCTTTGAGAAAGTTGCTAAAAGTCTTTTGAAATTAGATTCCTGGAAGTCATGGGACTTCTTGTTTTCCCTGTTGCAGGGTTGTTAGTGTTTCTGTGTTTTCCCTTTGATGTCTGTCCACTGCAGGGCAACATAGAGCAGACTGAGAGATTATCTTACATGACTGCATAAGGCCAAAACTGCATATGCATTAGGTATCATGTAAGATAGGTTGAACACTCCTTTTTCACTGTACCTTGTTTGAGAGAAAAGAACAGTCTAACTATGCTTTGTTTTGTTGCAGTTTGTTGTAAAAGCTCTGACTCAGCCATCCATCTTTTGTCAGAGAATCTCAGGTTTTACATCTGAAATCAGAGCAATGAAAATGTCGTCTACCTCAAAATTCAATAAAGATTTGACAAATATTTAAGGTCAACACTTGTGAATCTTATTATTCATTTTTATACAGGCAAACTGTTTCTTAGATGACTCCTCTACTTGTCTGTGTGAACATGCTTGTTGACCAAGTGTGGAGAGAAGATTAAATGAAGCTCCAACTTCTGCAGCTTACCTGAATTCTTGCCTCAGGAAGATCGATTTTATTGGCAAGTCGTTCACGTGCAAACACATCTGGATAGTGAGTCCTTTCAAATTCTACAACCAGAAAATAAAATCATATGTTTAAAAAAAACATATTTCAAAAGAAACTATGGAAATTAGTTTTAAATCTCAAACTATATGCTGTCTGACAACTTCAGGGTCTAATCATAAAAACAACCCGCTCTATGAGATTCTGAAATGAATAAAAATGTAAACTTAGGTGCACAAAAGCAAAGTCCCGAACATTTTTCACTTCATTAATAAGATTTTAATGGAAACAGAGATTTAGTTGAGATTTTTGGAATGAAGTGAAGTTATTATTGGTAAGATCGATGTCACTGTGAGCATATCACTAATGTAGCTATGGTCATTGTTACAGATGATTTCAGTATTAGAAACGAATAGTTCTGTTCTGTTCAGGCTGAGATAGCTGCCTGTACCGATTCTCTTCATTAGCTTATTGGAGACTTGAAAGGCAGAGAGCTGCCTTTCAAGCTGCTGCAAGACTAACAGTCTGACATAAAATGTAAAAGCTTTATGGTTATGAAACATAAATTGACTATTTACATTTATTTTTTGAAAGACTTTCAAAATAGATTAATTTAGTTTTTTCAAACAAACCAAAAATGTGTCTTAAGCTGTGGCTAAATACACTGTTGAGGAAAGCTGAATCAGGTGAGACTCCAAATGATCTGATCTCACTTACAGCAAACTTACAAAAGTTGAGTCAGTTTCTCATCATCGGTATGACAGCATATTGGAAGAGAAATACCTCTATACCAATATGGTATTGGAGTAAACGCTATTTTTTCAATATTGTTTACATGAACAAATAAGAACAGAAACCTAGCTGATATCTCAAATTTGAGGTAATTTCTGAAGGATGTTTTAAAGAAATTTAGCTTTTAGTAAACATCCCCAAATACCTTTCTCTAGTGCTTCTATCTGGTCCTGGGTAAAGGATGTTCTGTTTCTCTGCAGCTTTCTCTTCAACTGAAGCCTCATCTGAGTCTCATCTGAGTCGTCACCGTTGGAACTGATTGAAATGTTGTTTTCCGCTCCGTCTGTCTGAGGGCAGTCTGCACCAAAAAAAGCAGGGAGGAAAGAATGGAAGAAGACAGATAAAAATTTAGCTTATGGTTGGGTAGTCAATCAGTAAAATAGAAAAATGTGAGATAAACTGTGCTCTAGTCAGATGTGGTAAGATACAGGATACTACATTTTAAACTAAAATGTTTATTTAAAAACGCAGCTTTTAAAAAAAATTATTTAAATAAAACATCATGTTCACAGTTTTGCCAAAAAGGGACATGCACCTTGCTTTACTTTTTAGAAACAAAGATGTTCAATAAGATTTGATATGTTACAAAGTATGACTAAAATGTAAATGCACTAGATTGAACATTTAATCAATCTCACGTCAAATACATAATTTTCACATGCCATGTATTTAGATGAATAAATGGACTGAATGGTAAATGGACTGAGTAGTCATTTTGACCACTCAAAGCGCTTTACACTAGAGTCACATTCACCCATTCGCACACACATTCATACACCGACACGCAGACCGGTAGGCAATCGAAAAGCACATATAGAACACATTTCTTGCAAGGCAATTCAGATTTATTTATATGCTACTCCACATTAAGTTGTGTATACTATCTTTTACTCTTTAAGTCAAATAGATTGAGTGAGTTTTATGTTTTTAAATGTGTGACTTTGTGAAAGATGAACTTACAGTAAGTTAAGCTACTTTTTTATTAATTTTGTCAAACCTCCAAGAGTTTAATAATCTTAGCGGCATGTGTCTGTCTCCATTTGACAGTTGGTGATGTTTGAGGAAGATGTCCTGTTCACACTAAATGTTTTTGAGCAAGAGTCACTGGGATGTTTAGTAAAATTCATTATCCTCCCAGAAATTCCATTCATGCAATTCGGAACAAAACTTTTTTGAATTTTTCAAAATAAAAACTTACATTTTAGAAAAACCCTAATCTGTTCCCATTGCTCACCATGTATATGTTTGTCTTATTTAGAGGGATTCATATCTCATTGAGAGCCAATGATCTCTGGGCCATTTTCTCTCGTCATTTATCCACTGTATGTAAAATGTTTGGGTCATTAATGAGTCACTAATGTCAATTTGGTAGCATAACTTGTTTTATCACGTTGTGTTAAATGCAGACTGGCTGTTGCTCAGTTAGGGCTGAGTCCAACAGAGTGCTTGTAGTTGAACAAGAAATCTACTGATCATTATGCTGTTATGTAGATATAGCAGAAAATCTCAGAGGAACGTTTCCAACATCTTGTTTGATCTTTGGCTCAAATAACTAATCTGGAGGCTGGTGAGTTCATAAGAAAACACTATATCATTCATTACTCCAACCCAGAAATATAAATTAGCATGAGCTAAAATCCACATCAGAGTAGAGATCCCCAATATGGAATCTGTGAGAAGACAAGCTTGACTGCAGCTCCCTCCGGGACTTATGTTTTTTGTATTGCTAGCCTAATTATTCATTATCCCAACAGACAGGAGCTGCAAAACAGAATAAAGCTATTGCTAAGTGTCATAGTCGGTGATGCAGAAGGAGATGATAATGAGAGCAGATGCCCCTCTCCCTCCTGGACACACACACAGACCTAAACACTCACACAAACACGTGCACAAACATGTTGTTGGCTGATGGGGAGGTAGCGTAGCTTTGTTTCACTCTTAAGTCCCTGGGTGATGGAGGAGGAGCAGAAGCACATGAGCCTACCTCACATAGCAAAAGGAGCCATCAGCCACATGATCTGACTGAAATCTACAACAAGCGTATTTTAACTCATGCATAACTAGGCTGAATATCTGTCATTGCAAATTGAAGATCAACACCATTTGCTACACTGCTCTCAGTGGAAGTTGAATGAATGTATTGTGTTTATGAGGTTCTAAGGACCTGCTGTCATCTGAACAGCACACCAATTAAAGCCAGGAGGAGGGTCTTAGAGCTGTCAATTACCATCATATAGGAGCTGCTCTCTCCAGCCCCTTTGCTCTCAGCTGTGCTATAGCTTCTTTCTGACAAAAAGCCTGCCATGAAAGCTCAGGCTAGTTAGTATAGCCACCAATGAGAACAGATAAACAGTTTTCCTGGAATGGTAAGTTGTTTCTCTGCCATTAGCAAAATAGGCATGAGTAGCTTTTTTTTTTTTTTTTTCTCCGAAGAGTTTTTGTGGTGCTAGTGGCTCGTATTTTTGACTGTAGGCAGACAGGACAAGGAGAGGGGGGAAGACATGCGGCAAAGGTCGCCAGGATCGAACCCGGGATGTCCGCATCGAGGACTGAGGCCTTCAAACGTGGGGCGTGCTAACCCCTGCACCACCACAGCACGCCCCAGAGTAGCTTTCACAAACTTGGAGATGATACACAATGTGACACCTAATTTTCAGACATTCACATCTAAACATTTAGTATTATTTAGTATTAGTATTATTATTCATTATTCAAAAAATTTCTAAATGAGATTTTTTTGTTTTTTTTTTTACTTTGTGTGGGCAGCGTATTAACAAATGTCTTACCTGTGTTCAGTATTGTGGTCCCAGTGTACCACCCTGAGCGTCCGCCCCAAGGGCCCTGTATCTTCAGTTTGTCAAACATTCCTTCAGGGGCCTCTGTCCCCATTGGATGCTTGTCAGTGGCCAAGTTCCTGAGCACTCGATTTATTGATGAAACCTGAGCATAAACATAAAGTCATATAAAAAATATATATACTGTAGTTTTTTTTTCTTAAAAAATGTCAGGTTGGTGGTAAAACTGCAGTATGTAACGTTTATAACAAAATTATTTTACATATTGTCAAAACTCACTGTCGTGAGAGTAGTATGAGATATAATCTGTGAAAAGTCAAGCTCCTTTGGCTACTCCCACCACCAACTAAAAACAAACAATCAGAGTCAGGAGACGTGTCTTAGTTCTTGCCAATATCAATCTTTCGTGGCGCTGCTCAGGTCACATTAACAAAATATTTTTTGCATTTGAGTGGTTATTTTTTTAAACGACAGAAAAATTTGAAACCCATCGGTCATTTGACAGGTTATAATTAACACCCATGACTGGAGCACACAGACAGGTATTATAGACTTAATGCAAAGTGTTCATCGCAGAGGAAACTAAAATCAATTAATAAAAAAATTATTTCTGAATACCATCTCATGGACACTGAACCAAATGCATCCATCTTGCTGACCGGGAGCTGACAGCGTGTCGAAGAGTTATGGACCGGACGCGCTCTGGAGCGCGTCTGGTTCAGAAATGCATTTAAAAACTTTGGTTGAAATGATGCGTTTAATTTAAGTCTTCATTACATACAGACCAGAGAAAACTAAAGAGAATAGCGCTGTCCTGAGGCTGTTTCAGACCCCATCCGGTGAAGTGCTGGTAATATAAGTGGAGTCATTTAATTTCGTTTATTATAAGTTATTGGAGCCACAATCAATGGTTATTGTCCCAGAGAAAAAAGTTTGATGATTCAATCTGGTTTATATGTGATGGAATCTGGATTCTCAGTTCAACTAGGTGACTATTAACTAAACCACATAAAATGCAGCTGAATAGCCTATGTTTATATGATTATAATTTGATGGGTAAAATTAGAATATGACCAATTTTTTTAATGCTGTCAGTCAAAATGATGGTGAACAAAAAACTCAAGTGTGAACTCTGAATGGGACAGATATATAAAAGGACAAGGGTGTCAAGCGATGGTCTTGTTGATCAGGTAGGCAATTAAACTGGTTACGGACTTTAAATCAACAGTTTGAGTTCCAAACTGCAGATCCTTTCATGGACAGAGCACTTTGAGCAAAAGTGGTTCTTTGAAAGGGGACCTTACAATTTCCATCTGAAGCTGCTCTAGTAGATCTGCTAATGAATTGATACCAAGACAACACTGTCTTCCATTGCCATGTGGACAGTAGCAAGGGAAGATTGCAGCATTTCCTCAGTCCACGAGGAATGAATGCTGCAAGCCAGTGACTCAGTCCAAAATGCTGGGTTTCCTTACATCAGCATTTGTTAGATCTGCTCCTCAGGGACCACTGCTCGGTATGTTTTAGGCATTTCCTCTCTGCTAGACACTTGACTTCTATGCAGGTGATTACCCGACTTGTGCAGAAGATGCTATACAACCAGTATAGCATCTGATTGTATGCTTGTGTAAAATGTGTATAAAATTTACATCCAGTATCTTAATTTTATCCACATAATGGATAAAATTCCAGTATGTGTACGACACATGAAGATAGTATATTTATCCATATTTTACAAGCAAAAGAAACCAGTAAAGGCAAAATTTAATTCTGAGGTGTTTTGATGAGGCCAACATTTAAATGCAAGAGCTCGATCTTCTTGTACATCATATTTTATCAAGTCCAAGCTCTTGTGTTAAATGTAAACATCTAACATAAGCAGGGCACCTGACCTTGAGAACGAGAGTTGAAAAAAAATGTCTTAGATTGAAGACTTTTTAACCTGTATGAATAATAAACTGAACTTGAAGCACTGTTTTATAATAATGAGGATCAACTGAAATGTATGTGTGATTTATTTTGTAAAGTGCCTTGAACTAACATGTTGAACTATACCAGTGTTCTAACATCAAGCCAGTTGACAGACTAAGCTCTCATTGACATAAGTGATCTTACACTGGGTATATTGTCATTGGTGCAGACTCCCTCTGCCAGTAGTCGGTCTCTAATCTCCCAGGCAAAAATGGATGGACACTCTCTTTTGTACTGTGCGATCTTTCCCACCACCTCGGGAGTTGCCACCCTGGGTTTACTCCCTCCTATGGCCCGAGGACGGATTGAGCCCGTCTCGTAATACCGACCCAGGATCTTACTCACACAGCCATTAGACACCTGGACAAACAGACAGCAAACATCTTTGATCAAACAGTTGCTCTTTGCATTGGGTAAATAATGTTCTGTTTCTACAACATGGAATAGCTTTTAGGCTGCTTCTTTATGTAGAACAGAGAATCCCACTTTAGATTTCTGTGAAGCTGCTAAAGGAATCCATGAGCTTGCCTCACAGGCAATTGAGATAAAGTGCCTATCCAGGACGAAACCATGCATTCCTGTCTTTGTCGTTCCTTTGTGATTGTTCAGTTCCAGGAGTCAGTTCTAACTCCAGATTTATTCTAGATTTTAAAGTTAAACAAAATTAACTTTCAAGCTCAAGTGGTTTATATGTGAAAAGGCATCTGCCAGATGTAAAAGTGAAGGTGGCATTTGCCATTCAATAAATCAGTCAGTGGATACTTCCTGGAAAGAGAAGGAAATCGAGATTTGCTTGTTAGTTCATATCTTTGTAAAAGAAACTCTTATGAAGTGGAAAGAAACAACGTCAGAGCAGAGCTGTCAATTAGATGTCCTACTTTACTCCAAAAATCCATCTTCTCACTGTTTTTGAGTAAAACATTACTCAATGTGTTATTCACAAGGCATTACATTCTCAAGCAACAATTTTGTTACAATAAGAAACTACTTTATTGGTATTCATGTACACAAAGAGAAGAAATGGCTTGCACAAAGGCAAAGCTGGCTGCACGGTTGGCTGGCAGTAAGAAAGATCTTCTTGCTGTGGATTTCTGGGATCTTTCTGCATGAAGTTTGTATGTTCTCCCCTTAAATGTGCGGGTTCTCTCAAGGGACTCCATCTTCTTCGCACTGTCCAAAAAACATACTTGTTAGATTACTTGATCTTTTTAAACATTAGGTGTGAGGGTGTTGTTTCTCCTATTTTTCTCTGAGTTGCCCTGTGATGGGACTGTGGCCAGTCCAGGGTGTACCCTGCCTGTCACAATGAAGATAGACAAAAGCTCTCCTGCAGCCTGGATGGATGGATCCCCACAGCACGATGTTGCTACCATTATGTTTCACCATAGTGGTGACATGTTCAGTGTGATGAGCAGGATTACTTTTCTATTTGGAAGTTTGGATGAAGGTCATAACGTTCATTTTGAATGAACGTTATGACCTGTCAAAAGAAATGCAATCCGTCAAAAGAAATGCAGCTGTATTCACAGCAAAATGTGCTTGTATAAAACACCTTTTAATTCACCAGGGGAATCTTATTTGTGTAAAAGTTTTATAGATTAATAAGAAAACTATATTGTCCTTTCACGTTACAAATGAGTAACAGTTCTAGTGGATGATGTTGTCATATAGTGAGCAGCCCCACAGTCTGAAGAGCAGACTGACACAAACACATCAGTGGAGACATGGACGCCATGTTGAACAGTCTGCTCAGTCTGGGACTTTTCTTAATCTAACTCAAAAAGTCTGAAAACCTTGAAAGGGAGCCATGCAGAGAAGTACAGGAGAGTGCAAGAGTCACTTTTGTGACAAAACCAGGGACTTTACCCCCTTAGCCAATCAGTGACCAACAGTCTTCTGATGTCACATTTTCAGCCCAACTGAGAATGCCTTGAAGCTTACATGTCCTTTTTCTGCTTGCTATCTCACCAGGTATGATGATGACGCAGCATGAAGTGAATTTAATATTGGCCTACAGAGTAAAAATGAAGAGCGTCTTGTTGAAACATTAAATCCTGTTAAGTCTGTGTGCGTATTTATTGGGATATTGGGTGAATATGTGAAATTTAAAATTAGAAGATTACAACAAACCAGTAAAACACATTTATATAATATATATAACATATATAATACCTGCTTAAAGTTTGTTATATTTTATTTATCTCGCAAGTATGTCTCATCTGAACAAATATTCTAATGTATTGAAAGTGACTGTAATTTACAATGTTCGCTCTGACAACATTTTATTCCACATTTATCACCTAACCCGCTATCATCAGGTAGAAGTTCAATGGTCTTTCATTGGTCAAAAATGTATTAGCTGCATTATTTAGAATGGAGTTCACGCTGCTATCAGCTGGAGCCACTCCAAATATTCAAATGGTAATCAGATTTTATCCTTTAGCAGCATTTACCTAGGGGAGCATATCCATCTATGCTACTGAAAGGCAGCAAAAACTGAAAATCAATGTTGTTACCTACAATCACAGGTATATACTAAGAGCATTATTGTAAATCCATTAAAACATCGCAGGTGTAGGGATCTACTTTAACGAGAACTTATGAAAAATTGCATGTAAGGTGCCAAAAATATTCTGAATCCCAGACCTGAAAACAAAAGTTGGCACTTAATTTTGTTCACAAGTTATGTTATCCTCTAAGTAGTTCTGCATACCTGTAGTATTCTGGATATGTCACATGGCCGAGCCCCACTATGAGCAAGCTCCACTATCTTCTGCCTTGTAGAGTCAGGTAAAGGCCTTCCATTTACAAACACACCTCCAAGCTGGTTTACTCCACTGTGACCTTCACACACAAACACACAGAAATAAAATTAAAAGGAAAGAAATAAAGGAAGTAGGGAAAACATGCCATTTTATTAACAAGGAAATAAAGGTGAATGTGGAGAAAATAGTCTGTGTGCTTAGATTTTACATTTTAAAATCTATGCATCCAGTTTGTTAAGAAGCTCGATACATTATGCCTACCACAAATTATTAAATCACAATTATTTTAATATAAATCTATTATCCAGTTACTGAAATATGCTACAGACACACTTCTTTTTGTATGTGCTTGGGAGACATACAACATGATCAGTGGGACATTTTTGTTTGTTTTTAGGAAAATGTGTTCTCCATTCCCTAATCCTGTATAACTGTCTTTCCAAAGAAAAATTCCATCAAATTATTGCTTGGCAGAATTTATACCCTCTAAATTTTAGCTTGAGTCTTACTAGCACAACACTACTTCATTTACACCTTGTAAGAACCCATCAGCTAAAGGGTTCCTATATGGATTTTGGGGTTTTGGCAGAACTGTCCTGTGTGGTGATTGGCAGCGTCTCCCCGACTCGCTGTTCTGGCTTTGTAGAGCAAATAGGAAGGAGACAGGCAAAGTGAAAGGCAAGGAAAAGAAACTGAGCATGAAAGACCACAGCAAAGATGTATTCTTGGGAATGTAACTTTGCATTAGAGCTTATCTTGCATATCTCACATTAGTGCTTGATATAAAATGTTTTCCGGGGCTCATTGAGGATTTTGACACTTAACTACAAGGAGGGAATAACTAAGAAATTATGATATCAAGGGGTGAGAAAACTATAGCAGTGGGGTAAGTCAAAGCACACACACTGATCTTCTTGTGACACCACACCAGGAAAATGGCAGGGGTCCACAATCCAACACTGATTGGTACTCAATAGAAATAGCCCAGGTCAACAACAGATGGACAGAACTGATCCAAAATCTGTGAGGCAGTAGTCAGGATCCAGGTACATGCTGTGCGGATCAGAGCCAAAATCACAGAGACTGACAGTAGAGGCAGAGAGCAGGCAGAGGTGATGATCACATTCAAGAAAATGGAATGCTCTAAAGCTGTGAAAAGGATTACGACAGACAATCAACCACAGAGTGGTGCAGAGCAGCTATGTCATTTAGGCCTCTTATCTGTGACTCAACTCAACAAAATCTTTTATGCGATCATTTAATTTGTTCCTGTTCATTTGTGTTTGCTCAAAAAAGCTAGAAAAAACCTTTGAACATTGTGTTGATAAAGCGTAAAAGTGCTATGTCTCAGCAGGGGCACATAGTGCTGTGACACTGTTAAGCTAAGTAGATTTTCACTGAATCCATTGTCTGTTGCTTTTATGAGCTCAGTGGAAGGAAACATATTGCAGATTGATAAACCTCTCAGCAATGAATTACTAAATCATACAGTCAAAGTACACATACACACACCCACCAGCGCACGCACACACAACCAGAGAGGACAGTCTGATTTGGATGCAGTCCAGTACACATGCAAACCAAAAAGGGACGGAAGTGGTTCAGTAGGTAAGATGCTGGCTCCAGAGAGTAGGAACACTGCAGTCAATGAGTATGACAGACACTGAATATACTTCATAGACACATTACATAGTAATACAACATTTTATTTGAGTCACCATAAGGCCAAGTTATTACACTAATAGTATTAATAATAACAACAACAACAACAATACTACTAGTACTACTACTAATAATAATAATAATAATAGTAATGATAATAATAATAATAGATTTTATTTACAATGTCCTTTAAATCTTTGGATATTAAAGGGCAAAACCAAAAACAAAGCAAACAAGCGTAATTGATAATAGTAATAATAATAATAATAATAATAATAATAATAATAATAATAATAATAATAAATTAATTAAGAGATTAAAACTAATGCCTAAGAAATGAACCTGAAATTTTGCAGAAAAGAAATGTGTTAAGGCCTATTTTTAAAACAGTAAGTGGATTGTGGTTCCCTCAGTGTGTCATGGAGGGCATTCCATAGACGTGCAGCGACAGAAAGCCCTATCTGTTCAGCAGTGTTGTATAGTAACGAAGTAAAAATACTTCACTACTTTACTTAAGTATATTTTGGAGTACTTCATACTTTCCTCAAGTATGAAAATTTTTGATCACTTTCACTTTTACTTCACTGAATAGAGAAAAAAATTTACTGAAGTGATCTCCGGCCTTGGGAAGTCTTTTTTTTTTTTTTTTTTTTTTTTTGTGGGTTGTGCCCAAGTCATAAGAGAACCCCTTCACAGTTACAAAAAAGCAAGAGAGAGAAACGCAAGTGTTTTGACCCCACCTACTGATTGACTGCAACAAAGTCAGTAGCCTGCTTGCCTGGGCTTGTTCATCACCACCAATAGGATACACGTGTTTCGCTTTTTCCATTAAACACCAAGTTAACAAAAAAGCTCTCCCTCTTCAGACACCAAATAAGCTGGATTTCCCTCCCAATTCTTTTTTTTTCTTTTGCATAATGACCAGTTGTGTGCACCTATAGTTTGTGAAGTAATCGTAACAGCTTTTTTTTCTTCATGTTGGCCACATTTTTTGTACTGACTATTTATTTGTCTCATTTTCAGCACTGACCTTACTTAAAGGGAAAACTTAAGGGAAAACGTAAAAACTTTGTATTTTCTGTCCTGGAGGGTACACTAAGAAGTCGGTTCAGTTATAAAGCAGATAAAGTTAACCTTGTGGTTTAGGTAAAGCACCTAATTTTCTTAACTAAATGATGCCTGCAGGTATATATCTATTAGCAGGTTTAATTTTGCCTGCACTAAGTTGTGTACATTATTTTAAGTGTATTTGACAAGTTTACCAAAATATAAAAAATGTCATTCAAACTGCATTTGCTTTGTTTTACTTTATACTTATACTTTTCATTACAATACTTGAGTACATCCATTTTTACAGTAATTTTCATACTTAAGTACAAGACATTTCAGATACTTTAAGACTTTAACTCAAGTAACATTTCAGTCAGTGGCTTGAACTTTTACCAAAGTCATATTTTGGAGAGGTACCTATACTTTTACTAGACTCTGAGATTTCAGTATTTTATACAACACTGCTCTTCAGTTAGGTTTGAAGTTTGAAGAGAAGCTTTGAGTGGGTGGAGTGCTGTTGAAATTCTCGAGGTTGTGGTACTACTTTAGTAATATACAATATAACTATGCAACACTAACCAAATTTCACTAAACAAAAAAAAAAAGACATTCATCTCACATAGGCATAAAATCAGGTACATGTAAGAATAAGACACATGTACCAGCTTGTACAACATGCAGCTGAAAGAAGATGTATATATTTAATTTAAAACTTGTTTTATAAACACCTTTCCAACTATGTATTAAGATGTAACCACAATAAGAAGGACTGCATGAGAAGTTGGGTTCACTAACAAAACCAATCATTATTGTGGCACAAGTTAAAGACTACAAAAACTATGATTTGTTGTGGAAATTAAACTTGGATGACTGAATGGGATAAATAGTTAAACAGTCAGGAATGCTTGTTACCCACCTCCCAACACAGCATGAGTTTTCACGGCAATCTCATGTGGGAAGATGTATATCATATTAACTTGAGTCCACCATCTCAATCAACATGACACCACCTGTCAATTATTATCAGGGATTTGTCAGCAACTGACCAATCAGCGGTTGCAATTTGTCCCAAAGTACACACCCCTTAGTTGGAGGAATTGAACCTCTGACAACATTACTGGGATTTGTCATTGAGAATGTACTGCATTCGTACAGATTTTGAAGAAAATCATAGCTAGTCATGGACAAAACTTGTCATTGCGGAACATGCAATCTCAACAACCATTACCCAGAGCATTTAGAGGGTGGAATACAATTTATTATATTTCCAAAACCCAAACGTAGTCTGGAATAATCCAAGAGATGAATCAACTCACATTCAGTTGGATGAGACTGTGATCAACAGCAACTATCACATGTTCACCTGCATGAAGGCAATTGGCTGCACAAGATTTGGGCTTTAATTTTGATAACTTTGTTTCTAGCAAATAATATTACAGGTCTGATGTAGGACTTGTTGGAGAATTTTTCTGCCTGTTGTCTATGTCTCAGTTGGGTGAGACAAAGACTGATAAGATAAAAATTTAGTTGGCTGATAAGGTAAAAATTCCTCAAAAAGGTATTGTGTATCACTTTGACTTACACTACCTCTACCATTATAACACTGTTTGTTTGTCTGTCAGTTGTTTGTTCTATTTCTGCATGGGGGTGGAGCCGGCATCATGTTAATTGTGAAACATGCTGAGGGCAATACCATGAGGCGGGGATAATATCTTCAGGAGGCAAAGAGAAGCTGGTCAGATGGATGGAGCTAGGGTCAATACAGGGCAACGTTTGGATTTCCAGGGATTTGACTGGGTAAAGGTTTACATATCAGCAAGAAGCCAACCTTGAACATAAGACCAGAGTGACAAAGCATGTCAGGTATTCAAAATGCCCAGTCAATGTCCAGCCCTAAATCCAACTGGGAGGCTGTGACAGTGACAGTTGGATAGTTACAGATTCTCTTCATCCAAACTGACCAAAAGTAAAGCAGTCAGACAAATGATCAATGACAGACAACAACCACCCTTACTTAGATCCTTTTAAATGCTGCTAAAAAATAAGGTTTATAATCCTACAAACTTTAATATTGTACCAATTATGTCTTCCACAATTCAATTATAGGAACAGTGATATCTATTGTGGTAGCTGTTGTGACTATGAATATTTTTTTAATTTTCTGTCAAGCTGTCTTATATCTCTTGTGTGTTGAAAGGCCAGCAGTGCAACTACTTTCAACACACAGCAGTTCAACTGTAGAAATGTTAATCATGGTGTCATTTCTGAGAAACACACTGGGGCTCTCCTCTATTGACATTTAATTAATAGAAAGACATATGGAGTCAATTTGGCCCCAATCCTCTGTGAAACACAAACACTCACACACACAAAGCAGGCAGGCCCCTGGGAAAAGCTCAGGCTTTCCCTTCAAATCAACTCATTCACACTGCACCTGACTTCAATTAACTCCCACTGTAACAGGATTCTGTTGTTGTCAACAGAGCCGACTGAAACAACGGTCCAGATCCTCCATGGCAACGCAGACAGGTAACTGTTTCATTAATGTCAGGAAAACATAATTTTAGCTGTACCTTCCACCACTTTAAATACTGATTTCTTATGTATCCAGACTGTGATAGTTATTTGTTTGTATTAGAAAAGAAAGCCAAAACTCATAAGTTCTATCTAACCCTTAGTTTTTGCTAGGCTGGCGACTAATAGAAAGACTCCCATCCGGTGATCAGCTTATTTCGTTATTAAAGCTAGTTATAGCAGTGTTTCAACCTATTTATTTTGTTCAACTTTAGAACATGCAAATGTCCTGATTCTATAAGTGATTGAAACTTAGACTCAAAATTTTATTTATTCATAAAATCCACAAAAAATCTGTAAACAGCAAACATCCAAAAAGCAAATACCAATGCCCAGACAACTGAATTTGATTTAGTATTCTAAACTAATTTCAGCCTTTTTTCAGTAATGATAAGTAATAATATCAATGTGCACAAATTAAGAGAAAAGTGAGAAATAGTGAGATATTTATGTATCTGTTTGGTACTGACAGACTCAAACTCACATTTTAATCTAATCTGTTGTTTATCATTAATATTACTCAGGATGTAAGCTGTCACCAACAATTTTTTCTCGATTATCATCAGAGCTGATTTTTAGATTGTCCCATAAGAAAAATGTGAGTTCCCATCAAATCCACTACACAGAACCTCCCATGGAGAGGTTCTGTGTAGCAAAACTCATAGAATGTCACCAAGTCAGATCAAGTGCAGAGTTTAACTTTTATAAAAACCTGAACAAAACATTTTTAAAAAGACCAAGCAGCAGGACTATAGCAGATTAACAAACTTGGCTCTATCATCTCATCCCAGGTTTGGCTCATGTTTGCGTTTTGGATGTGTTTATATCACAAAGAACATTAAAGGCAGCTAATCATGTTACACCATACAGTGCCTTGCAAAAGTGTTCACCTTCCTCATCACTCCTGATTAATATGTTGAGACAGATTCCCATTATTTATTTATTTACTTTGATTATTTTTATTAACTTTATTTCTCTCTTTCATACTCTTTGAGACAATAAACAGCTTATGAACAGCAGTCCAATCTACCAACTGTACTAAAGTAAATTAGATTTTATCCACTTAAGATATTAGCAAGTGAATTGATGGGCTGGGGAGTTGAGGTTCAGATATTCCACAGGAGAATCTAGCTTTTCTGATTCCCCTGTGCTGAGGTTGACCTACTTAAATTAGGAATAATCAGTCTGACATTCAACTGAGAGGTGTAAGACAAAGGCAATAGCAGTACATTATAGCAATGGCAATTCATGCTTAAAGCAGTATAGAAGACCCAGAACTTGGGGCTTATCAAGAACAAATACAAATATAATAATAATAGATACATTTTCCTATGTACTGGATGTAGTTTAGGTTGAAACATACATGTAATCTGAACAAATTAAAGACACTTATGCAATTTGACTAACATTTAGGCACAGTCCTCCTAGAAGAATAAGGCTGCCTGGGCTAAAGCTGGGCAATGATAACATCCATATAGAAATATAAATTCAAGAATGCACTCACTGTTTTGCATCATGGAGGCAACACCAGTCTCCCAGCTCGGTTGACTTCTGTAATCTGTACAAACAAACACATTATATTTTACTGGGTTAAACACATTTGTGTGTAATAAAGTCCTCATTCAAAACACCTTAATTATGCAGAAAAGCAAAGCAGCATGAAAGAAATAAAGGTTTAAAGATTACTAATTATAGTTTTTCATTTGTTTACTGCAGGATAGAAGCCAAACGCCTGTGAAAAACTTAATATATCATAAATATTTCCTCATGCATTGTCACTTTATTCACAGTTTATACAGTGTGAGTCTATTAAGACTATCAGATGAGCAGCTAGTCCAATTATGGGTGTTGAAAATACATGCTCAGGATGAGGGATTGTTCATGCAGATGGAGTGAATGATGCAAGTCAGTAACTTGATCTAATCTGCTGGTTTTGCTTAGATAGAAAACAATTTGAATAAGAAGTTAACTGCATTTTTTTAAAAATAGGACTGATTGGAATATATGTAATTGACTTGGAATCTGTCTGTATGACGGGTTTGAATGTATTTATTTATTTATTTATTTATCTGTCCATTCATTTTCTAACACCTTTGTCCCTAATTGGGTTGGAAGGTGCTGGTGTCTATCTCCAGCTACGTTCTGGGTGAGAGGCGGGGTCACCCTGGACAGGTTGCCGGTCTGTCACAGGGCAACACAGAGACATACAGGACAAACACACACCTAGGGAGAATTTAGAAAGACCAATTAATCTGACAGTCATGTTTTTAGACTGTGGGAGGAAGTCGGAGTTCCCAGAGAGAACCCACCCATGCACAGGGAGAACATGCAAACTTTGTTTACAAATGCGCTTCTGGAAACACATCCGAGTTTTCTGAAAAAACACTTTATAAGAGCCAAAACTGTCATACAAGCAACCAACTGCGCTCCTCTGCAGCCTTACTTATTTATTTAGTTATTTTTGCTTTTTGTTGTTTTAATCTGCCTCAAAACATTAATTGCCACAGCATAAATAAAATGAATTGCATTAAACTGTACCAAACCACTGAAGAATCTCTAAATGAAGTTGATATTCTCAAATGCTACTGAAACCATTGCATTTTAGACAATTTCATCATCACAACTTTATGATGATGAAATTGGTGGACCCTTCATGGTCCACCAGATAGAAAAATCAAAGAAGGAATGGATAAGTGATATTGGTGTGGAATAACTTGTCTGACTTATTCAGAGTCCTAACCTCAACCCAACAGAATTTCTTAGATGCATCCAACATTAATGTCTGACTTTACAAATGCGCTTCTGAAACACACCCAAGTCTTCTGAAAAAACCTTTATAAGAGATGAAACTGTCATAGATGTGAAAGGGGGAAAACCTCATATTTAAAATTAAGAAAGGAATGTCACTCAAAAGTTCATATGTGTTTAACTGATGAAAGAAACGATCCCATGCCTTTACAGTTTTTATCAGAAAAACTAAATCTACTATTTGGTTGGATTATAACACAGGATGTGGAAGTCCAAACAGAACCATTATAAATATAATGTTACTTTAAAACTACAGATTGCAGTTGTGGACAGCATGTCTGTTTAGCAGCTGACTGCAGCTTTATGAGCTGAGCAGACAGCCTCACTAATTAATTGGCAATTATGAGCTTGTTAGGCTCCCAGAACTCTGTGCAGGGCAGAGTGATAACAAAGTAACATATTTTTTATGGTAAGCACCTGAAGACCAGTAGGTAATTTATCAAATGATAATTTGTATCTATACTTCAGTCTGTGTAAATCAAAATATCAAATAAACGTGATAAAAACAATCGTATAACTGTGATTGTAATCACTGCAGCTCATTCTGAACTCCATCTGTACAAAACAAACACATTATGTCTTAGAAACTGTTCCCTAAATTGATAAAACACTGGATGGTAGGAGATTTTTAAAAAATCATATATGAGTGACTGATATCAATTGAGCAATTTTACTTTCTCTTGATAGTCCTTCTTTAACAATATACAATCAACATAAATTGTTAGATTTGGATCAGTAAAATGATGTAGCAATTTGCATAGATTTAATCTTTGTGGATTTTAGTTAATACTACTGAACATAATTAATGCAAGTTTCACAGCTAACAGCAACTTAAGCAAGTTAAATTCCAATCTATTTTTAAATTGTATCATGAAGACTATCTCTAGTTTATTTAAAAGTACAAAATGAGTTTGTGTTTTACCAAATGCATTTTATTAACATAATATGTAGCTTACATGATATTCCAGCAAATGCAGCTTAGATGAGGGATATTCAGTGACAACTCCTCAGGCTGAAGAATCTGGGCTGGATAGCAGGTTTGACTTGATGCTCATGAGGCTGTAACTTCTCAAAACCTGTGTAGTGCTACTAACACCGAGCACTCAAAGCACTGATGCCACATTCACTCAGCCACATTCAAACATGCAGGTATTTACATACAGATCAGTTGGTATTTGGGCTTAAGTGCTTTGCTCAGAGGCACATCATCAAGTGGCAGAGAAAAAGCTGGAACCAGACCCACAACCTTCTGACTCTACTGACTAACGGACTAAGCATCACCACTTCAGCAACACCAAAAATTACTCAAATACAAGTTATTCATTTTTACTATGTTGATCATTTCATTCATGAACAAATAAGCCTCGTGGTTCTCTGCTGCAACAACTAAAGAACAAGAGAATATCTTTGGTCTGAACTAAGATCTTTGGTTAAATACAAATACAACCCCCCTCCTCACCCACCCACACACAAGCACACAGCACACATAAATAATTTACTTTATTTTCAATTTACCAGAATTTTATTGAGTTTCACCATTGCAGATTATTCCATTTCAAAACTAACACTTCACAATTAAATTCAAATAAAAATGTTGATACTGTTTAAAATGTATTTTTACAGTAACAGTATAATTCCAAGTTATTTTACTTAAAGGTGGTTTAAAAAAATAATACCTAGCCTGGAGTAAAGATGAAATTGAATTTAAATCTTTGACATTTGATGGACTGGAGTGCTCGAGTTGATAAATGAGCACTTTAGTTTTTTATTCATAAAGATAAAGTTGCCCATTTGAAAATGTGTCAAAAAATATTGTAAAAAGAGGATGCTCATGTAAATTTGATCAAATGTTACTTGCAGACTGGTGTTAACGTTCATTAACAGTTATTATACCATTTTGCCACATCGCCTCAAGTGACATTAGAAGACTTTAAAATGTGAAAGTTTTAGAATCTTCTTTACGTTTTCCATTCGTCGTCAGAAAAACAGGTTGCTGTTTGGGAGGAATGCTTCAGCAGAAATGAAGGGAGCACAAGGCACTTTTTCATTCTGCTGCATACAACCAGTTTTTTTTTTAATTTAGGGAGAAAAAAGTTTACGAAGAAAAGCCTCAAAGCGTCTCTTTATCTGAGGCTTCAGTCATTAACAACATAATGAAGGCGACGGAACTCCACAGAGGAGCAGGCCGGCAGCGGGGACCTTGTTCCCGCTGGAACACGGCGCTTTTCTCCCTGTGAAAGGGGGACAAAGAGGCGCAGGAGCGGACCCGCGGCTCGGCTCGGCTCGGCTCGGCTCGGTAAATAGCCTACGGCCGGTCGGCCTTTGTGCCTCGTTAGGAGCTGCGGCTCGTTTAAAGAGAGAAAGTGACACAAAACCGCAGTGGGGAGCCTAATTTCTGCAGTTCAACTAATGTAAAGGAGGTCATGGAGCACACCGATGATTATCTCAAAGTTTCTGTGAGCCGCGATCAGTTCGCTGAAAGGACGAGAGAAAAAAGACAAGATTGGTGAATAATAATAATAATAATAATAATAATAATAATAATAATAATAATAATAATAATAATAATAATAATAATAAAAACTTATTTACATTTTTAAAAGTATTTTATTGCCCCAAAGCAGACTTGTTATAACTGATTCATTAAAGTAATTTTATTTATTTATTTACTATTTTTATTTGGTTATTGTATTAAATAAATTTTTCTGTGCTCGTTATGAAAACCAAAATGAACATCAGGTTGCTTGATTCCACAGGAATGAAAAGATTGTGGGATAAATCCAAAACAGCTGTAAGTTTCAGATAATCAGAGTTTCTGTTACATCAAATCAGAATAAACATTATTAATAAACATTACAGCAAATATTCAAATTAAACAATTTGTAAGGTTTTTTTTAGCTACAAATGGCAGTGAACTTTTTTTTAATTCACCAAAGTAAGCAGCCGATTTTATCCTTTCGCACTTTGCATAGAAAGCGCGAAATGTTTCGAAATCAAGCAGTAAGCTAAAAATAAAACTGGCTGCTGGTCCAATGACAACTCTGAAAACGAAATAAATGTTAGTAAATAAGATTTTTAAAAAAACGAACAAATGAAAAAAGACTCCTAATTTTGCATAATTGCAATAAGTAATTATTACTTTCTGAAGGGCATCTTTTCAAGCCATTAACTTTAATGACCCGCTTATGTCTTTGAAAAAAATCTACTTTGATGTTCATTTAATCGCATCATTTAATCACACTGACGGAGAACAGATAACGGAGGTTTGAATCGACAGAATTGAGAACCTGCTATTACAGATTCAGCTGTTTCTTCATCAGCCAAACAGACCTCAGACACTGTTTCACCGCCTTTAGATTCATATTTATTTTTGTGCCCTGCTGATCACACAGTCACTTTAGAATGCTGCAGATGAACTTACTGTGTCAATAAAGACTTGTCTCGGAGCAGACTGCTTCTACTTGAAAGCGTTTCACTTCCTGGAGTCCAGATTGAGTCGGGCTTAAGTGAATAACTTGATGGGACGTTTTAATCTAGTGGATCTCCAGAGTGAGCAGCCGGTTCCTCAGACACAGATTCACTCCAGTAGAATTTGCGTGTGCACAGAGACCGCACTGATCTTCTAAAATCTGGAGGAACGGCTGGCTTCAGAAGAGCATACAGTTAAAGAAACATGATCAACTTGTGGTTAAAGCATTCAGTTAAAACCTGCAGGGAGGCTTTGCGCGTTTTTATTTCCATATATTAAGGAAAGCTCCAGAGTTGGGAGGATTTGTTGGGAATTCAAACGTCTCATTTCTAAACTAAGATTGAGTCGCTTAGTCGCTAGGAAAACAAAAGCAAATTTTACGAGCACAGTGACAGCTAAATGTTTATGTCAGACTGAAAAAATATACATCTTCTAAAGTACGTTACAAAAACAAATCCAGTAATTTTCTTATTAAAAACCTAAAACAGAGTAACAGTGGATGGTATCAGTGGATGATGTCTGATGCGTTTAACGCAGTTGGGTTCACGGTGCTTTAAATGCCATTACCTAATAATAATAAAGGGTTTTCCAAAATGTCCCTCTTTTCTTGAAGATTGCTAAATTTATTTGGTTATTTTGTTAGGTGAGTTTTTCATGCGCGGCTTGTCCCGTACACTGCAGATAACTCGGAGAGCAGCACCGACCCGGTTCGGTCCTGCATATAACGGCGGTCCGTTTACTGATGGATCTGAGGCCCGTTTCGGTAAAACTCGCCCCGTCAGACCGGCTCTGGCTGCAGCTCTGGACAACCGGGATGGTTGATGTCAAATCTGATTCTTCAGAAAATATTCATCAGTCTTCATCAGCGTCGAGATTTCCTCTTTTCTTTTCTTTACTTTCCTTTTCTTTTCTTTTCTTTTTCTTCCTTTCATTGATTCATTCTTTCTATCTTTTGCTTTCTTTCCTTCTATCTTTCTTCCTTGTTTTCTTTTGTATTTATTTTTTGCTATGCACAATCAAAATGAATAGATACGTATTTTTGGCTTTATTTCACGTTTCTAAACTCGACCAAGTCACTCTCCTGTGAAATTGAACATTTGAACTCCATGCTGATTGCAGACGTGATGGAGGGACTCCACAAAGACACAGACTAAGAACAGACGCGAAGCTTACCTTTCTGAGGCATGCTGCAGAGAAGTAAACTTTTGCTGCGCTCAGTATTTCAAAAGTTCCTTTCGTTTATTCTTTTCCTCCAATTAGTTTCTCCTTGACTGGAGAGACAAGTGCAGAAAGAGACAAAGTCGGTCCTCTGAGGAGGAGGGACAAGAAAAGGGAGTGAAGGACGGAGAGCAAGTGGGCGGGCTGAGGGGGCTGTACAGAGGAGCAGGATGGGAGTGGAGGGGCAGAGAACCGAGGGCTATGTCTGTGTGCACTGCAAAACATTCGAGCGACATTCACTTGTGTTTATTATCACAAAACTCGCTCAAATAAATTTAGCGAGTTATAGATTTTGAACTTAAATATGTAATTTTGTGAAAAATAAACCTTCAGGGGTAAGTTGTGATAACGTTTTGTTAATTTTGTCAAGCCTCCAAGAGTTGAATAAATTCCAGTTTTTAGGTTAGCACTTTAAAAGTTGAAAGGAGTTCCCAGGGTGCTTTGTGGAATGTTTCTGTATCCCGTGTTGCACTGTGAGTGAGTGCAACACGGGCTAATTCAAAATTGATGAAAGGATTTAGACAACTTGGCTCTTGTTGTTAAATCAACTTCATGAACTTTAATTTCTGAGTTAAACCAATTCAATTTTCTTGTTGACTTAAATTGCATTTTTAAGACAGCAGGTGGACTTTCATCTTCAAGTTAAATCACCTTCAATTTTTTTTGAAGTGTCCATACTTGTTTAGCTACTCTTTTTAGGAACATTTCTGCGATATTAACTAATCTACTGAATACCAATAGGCCTCATGGGGACCAAAGAGTAGTCCACATATGGTGGACCCCCTTGTTTAGAGTCAGGGGTAAAGTTTAGAGGTGAGGTAGAATTAAGTTGGAAGGGTTACAAGTAGACCAGTTATGGTTAGGTTTAGGGACAATGTCTGGGTTAGACATAAATACTGTTATTAAAATGAATGGATGTCAATGCAAAGTCCTGTTATGGGTAGAAATGCAAACTTGTGTGAAGGTGTATGTATGTGTGTACAATGTATTTATAAAACCTTGTGGGGAACAATTTCTGAACACATTGTGACATTGTTACTTGTAGGGACCAAAGTCTGTGCACCATAAGAAAATTGCTAGTTTTGGGTCAGATGAACAGAGGCAATGTAAGCTTTATTCAAGCTCCTTATTAATCCTTTATGCATTACCACTGGTTTGAGGATATATCTTCGAGCTGAGGGCAAGATTTGGCCCAAGACCATTTCTGAACACTTTCCAGACTCTGGAGGTGAATTGGGGACCACTGTCTGAGAGGCTATCAAGGGGAATGCAATGTAACTGGAAAACATGCCTGATAGTTGTTGTGCTGTTTCAAGAGATGAAGTGAGTTTTCTGAGAAGAATGAGGTGAAACACCTGAAAGAAACTACAATGGTAAGGATAAAGGTTAACCCTTGGATGTGGGCATATTAGTAATTAAATTTAAGGTAACCTCTTTAAGGAATAGCAAGAGGTTGAAGAAAACCACTGGGTGGCTGATGGTGAACATTGTTTCTGGCACAAATAGAACATAGAATAAAATATTCTTTTACGTTCTTTTAGGCCACCAGAACCTCTGTCTGATCAAAGGTACTTTGCTGTCCTCACTGATATTTATGAGTTTCAATAAGACAGCAAGCCAAACTCCAGCTCAATAAATCCTAATTGTAGTTTTGTGGATTTATTACACATTGTTGTCATTTTCAATACATGGTGAAACTGGAAATAAAGAGAAAATATGCTATTACCTATTTCTGAACATCATTATGTTCTCTGAGTAAACGCTAATGGTAACTTAATAGTAATGGATGTTAAATATAACTCACATCATGAAAACAATAACTAATTGTCTACAAAAGAATCATTCTGCAAGTAAACAGTAAATCTGAGTCACAGCTGAGTCTGAAAAAACTGAGTGAAACAGCACCATCTGCTGGTAGAAACAATTATGTTGCACAACAAATCTAGTATTTTTCACCTAACCTTATTAGGTCAATAGCTTACTTTTAGCACATAGTAAAAATAAATAAGTAAATAAATAAATAAATAAATAAATAAATAAATAAATAAATAAAGTTACATACATGTGTGGATTTTGCAGAAGTTGCATAAAGGTTCATTATTGTTCTATATATCAGAATGTACTTCTCTCTTTGGCCTGTGAATTCCATGCTCTGCACTTTCTATTCTATTGTAGTTTTTGCAGTATAAAAAATATATAAACAAAAAAAACGTTTTGAATTAATTTGAATAGAATGGGAGGCAGAACACTCACCTAACCTTATTCTAACTATAAACCTTCACACTCTGTCTGCTGACAAAAGAACAACTTCTGTAATTGCTCTCAACAACAATAATCCATATGTCATTAGTTTTCTGAAGCGTGAAAGTCCTTGAGGAGCACAATATCTCCCTCCTTGTTTCGTTCCACTTCTTCGGAGTTTGTAAAGTGGGGAGGTATTCCAGGTGCCGGCGGCACTGAAACTTGTTGCCGAAGGCCTGTACTTGTGTTCACTGTTTACTATTGAAGTCCTTGTCTGTGATTCTCCTTAGGGTGGAGAATCACAGGAGGCTTATGGGTCAATATTCTTCTGAGTTGTTGTAAAAGTTGGTGGGATCTCTTGTAGAGGTGTAACAAGATTGAAGCTACATTAGACCACTGGACCCTATATAGAAATACAAGTAGCAATTTAAACACTCTACAGGCATTGTTGATATCAGTATGAGTGATTACTAAAACAGGAACAGCTAGAAAAGGATTCTACAGCATTTATAAACAGGACCACCTGACTGACACATGACTTGTGGAAAAAGAATCATCACTGTCATGGACAGCAGATCACTGGCCCTGCCATTGCCGGTGCTGTCAGAGGTCTGCTGCATTTCTGTAAATGACGGGGGATTAATGCTGTGCTTTTCACTCATTTATAGTTGCTGAAAGCAAAGACAGCAGCCACTTGACCCCAGCTGACAAAAACACTTGTCAATACTACACTAGAGCTCCCCTTCCCTAACTCATTATAGATCTTCACTCCTCCTCCATATCTTCCTCTCTTTAACCTCGTGTTTTTCTATCTGCTTCTGTCGCCTCTACTGCAGCTTTTCCCTTCCAACTATTTCTTCAGGTCCAACTTCATCTATTTCTTGTTTTATTTCTTGCTCATCTCCTCTTTAGGTCTCACAACCACATGTTTGACACTGGCAGTTTGCAGGTAATTATAGGTAATCATCTAAACGGACAGTAATTACTTGGGGAGGGGGAGTGCATTTGCCTTCGATTTGTCTTTGCTATATTTTCAATTGATGCTTTGAATTTGACTTGCTTTGGACAGTCTTAATTTAGAAACACTGTACTTAATAGCTGTGCTCACGCTCACTCTCTGACTCTCTGTCATGCACACAGTGACCAGCTTTCAACCTTAAATTCTTTCTTGAACAATTTATTTATGTTAAGAGAAGCACAAGTTTGGAGCAGTAAAGCTTGAGTTTCTATCAAATAGCTTCACCCATTAAAACACCATCACACAAAGAACAGATTTAACTGTCCACTAGCGATACTACTATACCGTCAGAGGTAGTGGTGTGCACAGACGTTGGGTGCTCAAGAGCATTTATTACAGATTGTACATTATGTATTTTTACCTTGAGCAAATCAATAGGCATAGGTGTCTAATGTCGATTTTTAACCATTAAAAAATCAACTCAGAACAAAGGTGCATTTTTAATGCATTTTCAAAATTTTTATGACTAATAAAACAGCTAAATTATAATAGAAAAAGATAAAATATTACTCACAGTCAGCTTTTAAGCTGAGCTTTAAGTCAAATTTGAAATTTACTTTGCCCCTTTTCTGTTATTTTTATATTATGAGCTTCATGTATTTTTCTTGAGTACATCATTCTGTAATTTCATCACAAAATATCGTCTACACTACAAATCCTTATTGTGACCCGGGTGTAAATTCTAGTTTTCATTCCTCAGTTTCTCCAGTTCTTCCACTCTCTAAGAACTGGTGTTCTTCAAAAGCCTGAGTAACCACTAACTATTTTATAGCTTACCTCAACTACACCCAGAAAAAGAAAATATTTATAGTACAATGTACTTCTTGAGTGAACACAAGTGAATTATATGCGCTCACCAAAATGAACAAAGGATGCTTGAGCTCCTCTCCCCAGCTGTGTGTCTGTGAGCAGCAGTGGGTGCAGGCAATGCCTCCCTTTCATTGAATCAGCAAATGTGAGAGTCAGAGATTGGTTCCAAACTGCTGATCACTGTTGGGAAATCAATATGTTGTATGGGAAAATTTTTCTGAACGGTGGGTGAGGTCATGGCTCACATTGGTACCTCACTCACAGAAAGAGATCTGCTAGTGAAAATCTCAATCTAATCAAAATGCATTGTAAAACTGATTTTCTTTCTACTTCTGTGTGACTCAAGTGAAAGCGAGAAGACTGTGTGAATGTAGACCCTGGTGACTCCAGAATAATTGAAAATCCTGACAGGAGAGAGAAACTTATGAAGTAGCAATCATAAAAAGCTTCTCCAAAACCATGACACCATCCTACAACTACTACTATCTCCACTCACAAAGTTTGTGGCACTTAAAGTCACAACCTGACTTTTTTTTCACAAAGTCAGGTTGTGGAAAAAAATATACATATCAACATACCATCTTCACTTCTGAATAGAACATGGATTTCTGTAGAAACCTAAACTGTGTTTCCAGGAATGATGACCACTGCCAGAAGTGAAAATAGGGCTGGATTCTCCTTAATGTATATAATGTATATAATGTATATAAATACAAAAACATGAGCAATATTTTTACGTAGATATATCAACCTATGACTTTGTAGTTTTGCCATACAGAAATGATTAATTACAAAGTCAGTTCTAAATCAAATTCACATGAGTCAAATTCAAAGTGTTTTGGGGCCACTTTTCTTAACATCCTGTACCATTAACATGAACATTTTACCAAATGGCCACAATTTGGTAAAATGATATTCTTTTTTTTATTCTTGAGTAATTTTATGAATGGATACTTTTTAAGTGATATTATATGTATTTAGTTATTACTTATTCATGCATTTTGATTCTTATACATTTCTATTTAGATTTCTTAGATTAGTTTAATTCTTTCTTGGTTTATCCTTGTCCTCTGTAGCTTTTATCATGTCCTTATCATGTTTTTTATTCTAATCATACTCACCAGTAATCTTCACTAATGCCATTCATCAAACAATGTGGACAGGTTTTCAATAAAAATTTCACACACTTTTTAGATGAATCCTGACTACAAAACACATTAAATATTATTCAGTTTTGATCGCTCCCTCAAAACTTTTGTTTTTAAAATCAAATTTACAACTAAGTAACATGGGCAATTGTTTTATTTAAAAAAAAGAAAGAAAAAGCTTTAGATTTTGGTACATTTAAAATTTAGTGCATTTTCTGGCATGATCATCTGTAAATTCAACCTGGAGAGACTTAAACAACAAAAAAAAAGCATGAATGAATTAAAGTTTTGACCTTCAAATTCTGGCAGAAGACATGGCGCTGTGAATTGCAATAAGATGGATGGAACAAGGCAGAATAAATCAATGCTTCATCTTGTTAACAAATTGAGCGAGATATGGTCTGGCATCAGCCATGGAACAGTAAGCCACTGTTTATTTGATTTTGTGCTGAGATGAGCTCATCATATGACTTTGCTTGTCCAGATTGGAAAATGCACTGGGTTTCTGCCATTTGAAGTAATAAAGTGGCTAATCGATCTATAAAATTAAAACAATTACGCTGTCAAAAGCTGTAGTACCAACTACAAAGGCAAATCCATTTTAACACACACAAGATTAAACATGTCCTTATTTTATTATATTTGTTAATTTTATACAAATTGTAATATTTTCATGAGCATTAATAGATTTATTATTAATGCAAACGTTCTTATTTTACTATGCATGCACAGTTGAATACAAATACAATGAGCGACGAAAAGCTGAGGAAACTGACATTTTCTATCATAAAACTTTCTTAAATGCAGCACATGGAGAACAGCTTGCTTTTCTCAGACCTGATAGACAAGCTGCTCTTTTGGATGTTGGAATGTTTTAGACGTCAACAGAAACAGTGACTTCAGGACAACCTGAGTGAATGAAAAAATATACTATGTGCAAGCTTTGACTTGCTAAGACTGATTAATGAAGACATCCTTGCTAAGCTCAGAATTGTTTGGTGCCATTGGGTTGCTCTTTTGGGAACAGAGGGGCATTTGTGCTGTTGTTGTTGTTGTTACTTCTTCTGTAGGTTTCCTTGATGCTTGATGACCCCCCTCTCTCAAGTATATTGATCATTCCTTGTTCTTGTCTCATGAAGAGTTCAACCAGCAGAATTTTCTCCTTGTGGATCTGTTGGCTGATATCTTTGGGAATGTCCGGGATTAGCCAGTCAACAATGTCATTCATCAGCATCACAACATTCTGGCAAAGAATAATGAAATAATCAAGAATAATTAAAGTAATTAATTAAATCACCAAGTAAAGTATAAGAACAGACAAAGAGCAACCTGTGTAAAAAAATATATATATATTTTTTACATTTTGTGTAAAATAGTCAGTCAAACCAAACTAGCCATAATCAGAAAATGTAACTTTCCACTGAACCTAAACTAAACTATACTGTAAAAACTAATTAGTTCACCTTACTTGAAAAAATTATACAAACTAATTGCCTCAAAAAAAGCAAAGTAAGCTTAAGGTTAGTGAATAAGACAACTTCATTCATTTTAAGCAAGCAGAGCTAAATCAAGTAGTACAGCTAAGACATATTTTTAGTTAATATAAAGATCACAACATATAATTGACTAAACAGCATGTTCATAATCAGCATGTTTAACTAATCATTTAAACAAAACTAGAAGTCAAAAGCAGAAGTGCTCCAGGTCCTATAGAAGCAATGACATGGGTGAAGTAGATAAAAACAGGACCTAAAAACAACTTTTTTAAAGTCATGTTCAGATGTTAGAATTTATCATCTGAAACATTTAATGTGATTAAAAAAAAAAGCAAAAACATTTTTCACAGCACTGTAAAGTCACAGAAAAAAAAGAAAGTTTGCCTTTTAGTAGGAGGCTTTGGATCTTAGGACATAAACAATAATAACAGTGTGGAATCTGTGAGTTTATGTGCACATTTTATATCCATCCAATATTTCTACTGCTGACATTATTTTTTTTTAGATTTTGTATGTTATGATCTATTTTCTTAGGTGTCTGCAAATGACACATTTTAAAAATAAATATAAGCATCGTTCTGAAAAATATTTATAGAAAAGAAAAAACATTCTGCGATCTCTTGTTACCTGAAAAACAATGACAAAGGCAAGTCGTACAGCCAACACTGCCCAGAATTCTTTAGAGATCTCATATGGTGTTGGAGACCAGGGAGGCTCTCTATAATCCTTATACCTGTGAGACACAAATAGTAGCAGTAAGGTATAATCAGTGCAACTTACTGTTTAAACAACTGTTCCCTAATTCATTCACCTGTCAAAGATTTATGGAAGAGCAGTGATGAAAAAGCCACTGTTGGGAAAACTCAGATCAAGGCTGGACTGGAGTCTGCCTTGATCTGATTGGTGGATAAGTGCTTTGGTTCAATCCAAAATGTCAGTAAACCCCATACATGAACCTTTAAGAAACTAAAAGTGAGGTTTCTGCTTTTATGAAAATATCTATATTTGTAAAATTACTGGGAAAACAATAGTGTGCAGAGTAATTATGTTACATGTTTGTCTTACTTTGTGGATTAAAGCTACATTAGCTAAGTTCATTTTGCTAGTTCAGCAGTAATTACTACAGTACCACAAAAGTGGGTAGAGTACTCAAAAATTGTAATCAAATTATGGTGGTTATGTACCTATATTGTTCAAAAGTTAGATCGGAACGAGGTGGGAGCGAGTTCTAAGCTTGTGGCTTGTTTATTGTTGTCAAAGGAACTGCCTGCCAAGCTGACGGTCAGTTACAAAGTTCACAAAAGTGTGACATCAAATGACTGTTTAGTTATTCCTGAACTAACCAGTAGACACATCCTGAGAAATAGTTATTCAATTTCAGAAGAAAAAATAGTGAAAGGAATAGGTGGATGTAAACAGTGAAGACACAAACAAGACTGATGCTCACCTGCAAACTTCAATGGGATAGCCATAAGGCATTGGATCCATAGTTTCTTTGCCATGCTCAAAGTGACTGACATTAAAGTAGGACAGCGTATGGTTGACAAATCCATGCAAGGAGCCATCAGAGCTGTACATGTACTGGTAGACCATCCGAGGGATGAAGTCTGATGTGAAGGAGATGACAAATGCCTAGCAGAGGGGTGGAAGATCAAAATTTTGTCAGGCCAGGGAAATTTAATGTAATATGGCCTATGCTACTTCAGTTATCCATGGGCTATCAAATAAACTTTCCTTCAGTTCGATTCAGTTTTATTATATCATGCCAATTCACAGTAAATGCCTTGACACACTTTACAGAAAATAATTTCATCATACATAGATTCCAATTGAACCCAGTTATCAAACAGTACAATAAGCACAATTAATCAAAAAGTAATTGAAAACACTTCAAACAAAACCCAGGAGAGCATCGAGTCATTGACTTGCAGCATTCACTCCTCCTGGACAAGGCCGTAGAGACAGCAGTCTCTTCGTTTGTATTATTGACTTTAGAGCAATTTCTCATGCATGTAGTAAAGAAGAAAACCTCCATCGGCCATCACCAACTGAGAGTCATTTATAAATGTTACTTGAAAGCCATATAAACACACTGGAAACTAGATTTGACGTTACCCAATAGGATGAATTTTATTCTGCAAATCATACAATGACCCTGAGTCACTCAGCATCATCAGATAATAGCTTCCTCTTCTTCTTTCTGGCTGTTGACCCCATCCCAATCCTTGTCCTTCCATCACCAGAAATGTAACATTAGTTGTTCTTCAGCTTCATACACTATTTAGTTACTAGTTGATGGCTTATGAGATGCACCTTCTCTCTGTTTCAGAAAACTGGATGATCCTGGTTGATCTAATGCTTCACACATTTACCTTCATTAGAGAAACTCAGAATTCATTTGGGAGCAATTTACCAGTCCAGGACAGATTTAGAAAAAAAGTCTAAAAGAAATATCTAGATATATGATTAACATGTTATGACAACTTGTTGTTAAGGTCAAGACCTTTCAACAGAGACTCATACAATACATTTTGATCAACGTAATGAAAGAAACTGAAAGTGTAGGAAAAGGCAGAGAATGGTACATAGTAACTTAGATGACATTTGTAAGTTATTGAAAGGAGCAGGAAACTGTTTTTTGATATGCACAAGTGACAATTTGATTTGAAGATTGACTAAGTAGTTTTGAGAATTTCAGGTGTGTTCTGAGAAATGCACCAAAGCAACTGAGAAAATCTAGTAAATAACTGAATATTTGAATTTTCTCATTTATTAATGGCTGCATAAAATTCAGTTATTTGATAAGTCTAGAGTGATAAACAGTACAGAGATGCTAATCATGGCAGCATGGTCACCATGCACCAAAAATAAACACAAACCAAGCTGAAAGTTGTGCAATTCTGCTTGTTAGTTGATGGAACAGTCCATTCCATAACTGCTGGTGTAAAATGCTTAAGCTTAATGCCATAACTATGCAATGGGATAGCGTACAACATCTGTATCAGATATACATTAGAAATTTCACAATTAATATAGGCTAGATGTTGACTAGTTGACTAAGCTTGACAAATGTCACTGTTGAAGTAAAGTAAAAGGTGGACAAAGTAGAGAAGGGGACAGTTGTAAGTGACATAGTAAGTAAACATTAACACAACATTAAAAGGCACACATGAGAAGTTCAAGAAATACCAGAGACTCCGACAGCAAAGGGAGAAGTTGTGGTCTCAGTTTTGCCAGTGATCATTGGAGCACTCAGGTCTTTGACACCCTAACTGGGACAGCAGCTTCAGCACATTCCCAGTCACTGAGATGTGTGTCGGAGATACTGGGGAGAGCAACTCCCTTGTCCCATGTTCCATGACAGTCCACAGCTGCTTGCTCTGGTGGCTTTTCCAGGAAGCCAAAGACTTCAAAAATAAAGTCTCTTTTAAAAAGAGATTTCTGATCTTGAAGCAGTAATCTATAATAAAAATTATCAGTTCTGCCACTCAAATTACCTTTGGCTTCACTTTTGCCTAATTCTGCATCCATCTTCTTCCTCCTCCTTTCCTAGTTTTACAGTTTTTTCCTCTACTGAAAGTTGTCACTTATAGAAATACATTTCATTTCATCATAGTTGGAACTAAAGCATTTATACTTACAGATAGGTATGTTTACTTACATTAATGATGACAGCAACTTTTGCTACTCCTCTCAGAATATCATACCATATACCTGCAAGCATAAAAATAAGAATTATCAGTCACTGGACACATCATTATATGTAAGCATATTGCTGTCACGGAGGAAAAGAAAGTGTTGAGCACTGTTGTATTGTACAAGTTTGATACTTACAATAACCTCCAAACATATTGGAACAGCAAGGCAAATGTCTTTGTTTTTGTTGTACAGTGAAGACATTTGGGTTTAACAACAATAGATTAGCATGAAACAAGGGTTAAGAATGTTAGCTTTTATTTTCTGGCATTTACATGTAGGTGTGTTATAAACAACTCAGGACATACTACCCTTTGTTTGAAGCCACCCAATTTTCAAGTGAGCAAAACTATTGGAACATGTGACGGACAGGTGCTTCTTATTGACCAAGTGCTGCCTTTAACGTTGATTGTTCAAACATTAAATAGCACCGCTTGACCTGTCTACTTTTTGGCCTATGCTTACAACTATTGGGCAGGTTTAAGCCTTTGGACAAACATTGAGCATAGCAAGCACAACTAACAAGTTATAAATAAGAAAGAAATGACGGTGTACAGTGCAACAGAGGGCGAACAGTCGGCCAAGGAAAACTACAATCTGGTGACAGAAATATTGTGAGATGTGAAGAAAACCCCCAAATCACCAGTAGTATCAGGGGAGAAGGTATCCACTGTTCGAAGAGCAAAAATACAGAAGGTATACTCAAAGATGCAAATTACTTAACAGTAGTAAGAATCAGAAGGCCATATTGCAATTTGCAAAGAAGTACAGAGATAGCCAGACAAGTTGTGGAACACAGTCTTATGGACTGATGAGGCCAAGATTAATCTCTACCAAAGTGATGGAAAGGTCAAAGTGTAGAGAAAGAAAAGAACTGCTTCGTATCCGGAGCATACAAATTTATTTGCAAAGCACAGTGGAGATAAAGTCATGGCTTGGGCATGCATGGCTGTTTCTAGAACAGGTTGATGAATTTTTATTGATGATGTAACTGATGATGGTAGCAGCAGAATGAATTTTGAAGTGTACAGAACCCTTTTGTCTGCAAATTTACAGAAAAATGCATCTCAAGTAATTGGGAGAAATGTCATCATGCAGCAGGATAATGACCTAAAACAAAGGACTTTATGAGAGAAAACAAAGTTGTAGACTGACCAAGTTAATCACCTGACCTTAACTGGATAGAGAAAGCAATTCACCTCCTGAAAAGTAGTCTGAAGGGAGAAATCCCCCGAAACAAACAAGAACAGAAAGAATCTGTGGTAAAAGCTTGGAAGAACATCACAAATGAAGAATGCAACAGTTTGGGGATATTAAATCATTTGTTCCTTTACTTCTGCTCACCTAAAACGCTGTGGTGTAACACAAATGGTGAGATATCCTAATTTACCTAACACACCTACGTATAAATGTCAGAAAATAAAACTTGACATTTTGAACTCTAGCCTCATGCTTGTGTTTTGTTGTTGAGCCCAAATATCTTCAGTGTACAACAAAAACAAAGGGATTTGCCTTGCTGTTGTTTATTCGATATATTATGTTAGGGTTAGTTTGAACAATGTAATTAACACGTTATATAGTGATAGTGCTCAAAAATGTATTGTCCTTTGTGATAGCAATATGGTTCGGTGTCCTTAACCTCACTGCATTGATTATGTTGTCACTTAATGATATCATAGAAAAACACACCAATATCTTTGGCTCTTGCTGCCACTGGTCTTCGCAACTCAGTCACAAATTTCTTAGCATCAAGCCGTATTTCGATAATGTTGTTGAGCAGAGCAAATAGAGGAGCAAGAGGGAAGGATGCAACAAACAATGTGACAAAACCAAACTGGATAACTGGAAAAGAAGAACAAAGAATAATTGTATTTATTTATGTAGTGCTCATCCAAAATAAAACCTCTTAGGACAATATGGAACATAACACAAGTTGAACTCAAAAGTATCAGTATCAGTCCAATAGTAAGGTTTAGGTTTAATCCAGTTTTATGTATTCCAGTTTACAGATTATTCATCTTTATTACCTTTTCTTGTACGAGTGTAGCAACAATGCTAAATCCTAAAAAGGCCTTAATATTTACATGTCAGAGTTTCCCCCAGAAAATCTGCCAAGCCCGGTGGTAGGACTACTCAGGCAGTCAATAGTTTATGTGTCGAAAAAATGTAAAAAATAAAAATAAAAAAACTGGAGGTGCATGACCAGGCATTACAATTTTGAAACAATAACATGTGAGGCCAATGGACAGACACATGGACAGGGCAATTGGTGCTAATGCCCTAATTATAAAACAGTTTAAACAGTTTTACTGGTGTATAAAAGCTATTTAAAATGAACAAATGACACTTAGCCTGGTAGGGGTCAAATAAAGCCTGGTGGTCTGACAGGCTTTTATACACTGGGGGAAACCTTGCATGTGATACAAGGTTGCTTTCAAATAATATTGCATAAATTAGACAACAAATGTCTCCAATAATACAATGATTGCTTCTAGGTTAATTTAAGATGTTAAGACGAGGATGAGCACACATCTCTCAATGACGTCTTTGCTCATTATAAGGAAGCAGAACATCTGACTATCACCAGGTACTCTCTGGAAGGAAGCAAGAAAGGCAGTTGCAAAAATTATAAAAACCTCACATATTAAATACAGTTATCAAGAAATCTGATATTACATCTTTTTCAATCTCAAATTGGGATCAAGTCCTCTCCATTATGGTTAAAGTTCATCATTCTTTGTGTATGTGGTGGGAAACACTCAGTTCTGACCAATCAAAGCACTTTTACACCAGTGCTACATTCACCGTGTCTCACTTTTAAAGCAGAAACATTCATACATTTACCAGACAATTAATCTTCTGGTTGAGCCAAATATTGCCCTTTCCTTTTCCACACCATATCGCTCTGTGAGGCACTTACAGAAAATGATTGCATGCAAAGATTTTGTTTGTTACTGACTCATTTCCATATATTCAGGTGTCAGTCCACCAAACGGTTCCAAGAAGTGGTCTGTCTCATATCTCCGCAGTTTCTTTTGTCTCTCTTCTTCTTGAAATGCTCCCTGTTCCGACTGAATATATCGAATTAGCTTCTTCAGTTTGCTGAGGAATATGAAAACAATAACACACACACACACACAGGTTAAGCTTAGCTCTGAAGAATTTAGCTCTAAACTAACTTGACTTGGATGAAAAACTAACAAGGTTTAACAGTTGATTGAAACTTGTTGAAATTGTATTTTGCAGTCACCACCCCTTTTAACAGAATCATAAAATAGACGTTACTTTGTGCCAAATCAGCCTGGTAAAACCCCCTTCTTGACTTATGCTATTTGTTTCATTCAGAGGGCTCTCATCTATCAAGAAATGATTGATTCCTGGACTCTGATGAAGTTTTAAATTTTACCCGGTCACTAACTTCTGCCCATGATGTATGTAGTGGACCAGTTCAACACTATAAATCTGACAGGAGACTGCCTGAACTGTAAACAATCATCCTCCACTGCAAAGAGAGAAGCAACGAGCCCAACAAGGTGACTGTTGATGCTAACTTAATATTTTGAAGCATAACCAACACAGACTGGACGACTTCATTCACTTCCTCCACTGCCATTTAGGCCTACAGGAAGAGTACAATTTCAAAAAACCGTAGAAACTCAACAACCTTGTTCAAAACTTGTCCTTCTGTCGCTGATTGGCCAGGTCAAAAAATGACCAGAAAGAATCAGAGAGAAAGGGAGAGAGCCCAGACTGTGCTGTAAGTGAGGCATTTTTCGGGCCTATTTGCACAAGAACCCAATGGCAGGCTAGTGCCAAATTCTTGTTAATCAGATCTAATAAAATAAATGCAGAAATGGAACTGTACTCACGGTATTCCAATCTCAAAAAGGTTATTTTGAATGAGCTGCTTTCCCAACATGGTAATACTCAGCTGAATACATAGCTCCATCAGACAGCTTCCATCAGAACACTGGAAATCAGGAACACAGTACCAAAAAAATTTAAACCTGAACAAAATAATCGTGCCCATGTTCTTAAAGACCAGGAGTCTTATGAGTGTGTGTTCTGAGATCAGACTGAACTGCAGGAACATGATGATTAGCAGTTTATTAGCGGCTTCAGATTTCCCACACACCATGGAGACCTGCTCAGAACTGCAGGCCCACCTTGCAATGTTTCCATTTCAGGTTCTCAAAATGTTGGAATTCTTTGCAAATAGTTCTTCATAACATCAGGCCCTAACAGTTAGAATTCCTCAAACTGGATTCTACTATTTTTGCTTTTTGTAATTTGTTTTAGAAAAAGCAATAATTTAATTCATAGATTTTGCTTGCAGATGTAATAACATAAAGTTTACCTCCTCCATTCTGTAAGACTCAAACACATATAAATATCTGCCTGGTCTGCCCACCAGTCTACAAGAAAAGTGAAATGAAGAAATAAATATTCAGCTGATGACATAAATATGATATATTGACAACAAAGAGCATAAAAATTTAGAGTAGCAACCTTCCCCTGAAGAAAGCGATGTAGATGATTGGGGTAAAAGCATTGACAAACTTGAGAATGAAAGTCTTAAAAATCAACCGTTCCTCGAAATTCTTCTCTGTTTTAGGGGCCTCTGTCACAAAACAGGGACACAAAACAGATAAACAATTACTGAGATTAAAGAAAATAAAAAGGTATGTATATATGAAACATTAATGTGATGTATGCCAAAAATAATCTTTATTCTCATTGCCATGATTTTTAACATCTTTCCTATTCTATGCATCTAGAATTTATTTGTAGACTTTATAGTCTATAAATAAGACTATCTTAAGTATATACATACATGTAGAAACTATGTATATACTTTCTACATTCACACTAAATGTAGAAAGTATATACATACTTTATCTCTCTCTCTTTATCTCTCTCTCTCTCTCTACATATATATATCTATATATATATATATATATATATATGTGTGTGTGTGTATATATATATATATATATATATATATACACACACACACACACACATATATATATATATATATATATATATATATATATATATATATATATATATATATATATATATATATATATACACACACACACACACACACACATATATATATATATATATATATATATATATATATATATATATATATATATATATATATATATATATATATATATATATATATATATATATATATATATATATATATATGCCCACGAGGCAGACCAATAAGAGGAGTTGGAGACATTAGAAATTCAAAAGTTGCCAAAGCTCTAACCTACTACTCAGGTCTTTTCCTTACCTAGGACAGTAAGCCAGCGAGCCACAGCTCCATACACTTCATCCAGGATCAGAATGACCACCAGGTTAATGATCGCTGCAGTGGTTTTTACTGTCAGTTGCACGTGGCTTCTTGTGGTTGGACTGGAGCTCATATATAGAGCAGCTTTGGTGGAAATCCGGTAAAGGATCACACCAAACACAATGGCAAACGTAACCCCGATCTGTTCAGGAAGGGTTGCAGGAAAACAATATGAAGACATTTTGTCTTATTACATTTTACAATATTTACAGGCAACATTGTAGGATAATGACATTTAGTTCTGACTTACCATCAGCAGCATCATGACAATATTAGTCATGTATGCAGGAAGGCGGTCTCTACATGTGAGTTTTTCAATCTAAAATTAAAAAAAATAAATGCTTTACAATCCCGGCTTTTATAAGGATCACTGGTCCCACTTATTCTAAATAAGCCCCATTTTGTATCAGACATTTTTTGCAGAATGTCTTGTGACACCAGTAGATGGCAGCAGATACTGTGACTTGAAAATAATGGAAATGAGTTTTGCAGAGGTTCTTGTGAGGCCCAGATGGTTTTGGAAGTGAGATGATCTCCTCCAACAAGCCACAATGATCAAACGACAAGGACTTTTACTCTGCGTTTCTATTAGTATGGGGTATTAATACAGTTATTTCTTTTAATATATGATTTAATTCCAGGCTTTTTCAGCAACAGAACACAAATACGCACATACGACACACATAGTAAGACAGATATCCTTTACTTTATCCTTTACTCTCAAAGGAGTGAAGTGTCATCTTACCTTTTGTGGGGATTTCTTTTCTTTCTTCAGGGACTTCTGCATCACTCTGAATTCATATTCAGCCCTGGGATGATCCTGGGACGGTGATCATAATAAAAAATGATGGAAATAAATTTCAGAGTATTATATTTCTTTCAAGACAGGAAATAAGATTCTTTATAATAACTTACAGACTTATAGCTTAATCAGAAACCAAAATCTCATAAGGCCATATCATGTTGATATGAGTTTCTGTTAGTGTAATAAACATGTAGGTATGTAAAGCATGGAAGATCAGAGCTGTTCAAAATAACATGATTCTATAAGTCACTTTAGAGCTTTGTACTGTTGCAGTGTTGGCAGCTAAACTCACAGACACTTTTAGTACTTTCATTATTGTTCAACAGACCAACTGCAGTTCCACTTGGATCTCTTAAGATGCAATCTGAAGTTTCTCAAAAATTTTGCATTCCGGTAAATCTTAACTCTAGAACTTGAATCCTGTTTGGCCAAATGATGACCAGAACAGTTTGTGAAACATATGTAACCACGCTCAAATTGCGAACAGTGTGAAGGGTGAGAGAACGTGAACAGGAAATAATAGAAACAGTTCAGAAGTTAAAAGTTGCAAATCCATATAGAAAATTAGAACAAATATGAAATATAGAGTAGCCACAGTCATTATACAAACAAAGTATACCCTCTTAATTACAGGAGCCAACCTGCTCCAGAAAGTTCTGTCTCTTTGGGGAGTTAGTAATGTATCGATTTATGGGTCTTATGACCCTAACCCTCAAACCACAAAGCAGTTCCTAATTTACTATGTAGTCAAATTTAGACATCTTATTCCTGTCAACCATGGTTGACAGGAATAAAGGTTAGGTTATACCCTAACCTTTTAACTTTTCTTTTTACTTTTAACTTTCCTTGGCAACAGTGTGTGCTAGTTATACAAATAATATGCTTACAAATCTGATCTGGCTGACTTTGTGTTTTTAGCTGTTAAACTTTTATTTTAGGGGGAACTTAAAAACTCAGGCTACACCTAAATATGTATCTGGTTCTCATAGATATATCTGTAAGCTCCTGTTGTTCACAATATCAAACTACAATTGAATTGTAGATGAGTTTGAAATCCGTGTTTTTCCCATAAACGTCTACATTTTCATTAAGTCTTTAAACTTCAGTAGGACTGAAGTTTAATGGCCTGTGCTGAGCATGTGCTCCTACTTAAATGAGGAGCACATGCTGGATCATGTGATCTCCTTTGATTTTAGTTTATTAATGACTTTGTGACCTTTTTGTTAATTGCAAGAGAATGTTTGTCTCTTTCTCTGTAGACTAGCATCCTCTGATTCTGGCACAGTCCTGAGTCATTGTAATAATAAATGTGCTACATTATCAGATGAAATTGCACTTTTTAAACAAAAAGTTCCCCCAAATATTTTTTACTTGATACAGTTTTTATCTCAACTTTTCTCAATTTTGGCTTAATCTCTGCTGAACAAATGATAATGTTCTAAGTTTTGTACAACTTCAGATAGTTGTTGATACCTTTCCTAGCTGGTATCAGTTTTTTGAAACTCATTAACTGAACAAATATTGTATAAAATGTTGAGAATTGAATTGAGAAAGGGTGTACTTTTTCCTTACCATGACTGTATATGTGTTTTGCTGTCATACTCCACATTATAAAGTAAAAAGTATAAAGTGTAAAAAGTGAAAACTGTTGGATTGGAAAACAAGGTGATTTTAAAGAAAAATGCCTTGCAGTGGTAGCAGAAAGGCTGTGCAGTACAGGGCGACCTTGACCTAGAGAGGAAATTAGTAACCAGAAAGAAAGTTTTCCAAACCTTCAATGCTTCCTGTAAAAAAACAACATAAGAACAGAACAAAAAAACAACAGGGACAAAATGATTATCAGTCAAGTATAACAAGGATAATCTTAGTATACATTCACACTAATGCCATCATTTCTTCCTTTTTGATACTGACAAGGCAGAAGCAGTCAGTATCTTACTTGCAGCAGAAAACTCTTATAGGAATCCCTGTTCATAAAAGATATTATCAGATATAACTGTTATGATAATGGCTGCTGTTTAAGGCTTTACTGTTTTCTCAACCGAACAGTGTGAACATCGATACACCTATATGTGTGCACTGGGGCTGCAGAAAATTGGCAAAAACTTATTAAAACAAAAAGACACAGCTTACTGTAATAACAGTACATTACTGTTGACCTGAATAATTCAATGATGAGCAAAGTGATGATTCAAAGAGCACTCTACGAATATTTGTGTTAGCATCACATTGCTTTATCAAAGATCTAGCTGACAATATCACACTAAATGTAGAAAACAACAGTGAACTTCTGCCAGGTTAGAGAAAATATGGAGGACTTAATATTACTTTTTTGTATCTTTAATGCCCTTTTCGTCAAGAGATCTCAAGGGGCTTCTAAGGGCTAAAAACAGAACAAGCAATTATGTTGGATAAAAACATAAAATAAATAAAAAGAGATTTAAACAAACATCTAAGAAAGTTAAATAATAATTTGCTGATAAGGAACATAAATCCTTTTTAAAAGAAATACATATAGATGGACTCACCTCTTCATCTTCAAACCCAGTGAGGTCCCACTCATAGTTTAGCCTCATCTGCCTCCTCTTCCAGTGCTCCATAAACATGGCAGCTATAAGAATATTAGTATCAATACCATTTTTGTATTTTGTGATGCTTTGCACTCAGACTTGTTTTCTCACCCCACAGCGCCATGAATATGGAGAAGAAAACTGTGGCTGGGTTATCAAACAGGTGACTGGCTCGAGCAGTTCCACATGCTGTACTGAGTTTCCAGTAGCTACACACTCTGTCACACAGGGGACACATGGTGATGTTGCTCTTTGGATCACAGATCTCCATGCTGGAATTCAAACACACAGAAAAAAGCATTTCTTTTTACTTCAGAACTTGTCGATTTCTAAACCTCATTTAGCTCCAAGATCTTCAAACTACTTTATCCTAGTGTCAAAGAATGCAGTAACTCCAAAATTGTACACAACACACATATGAGACATGAAAATCATGACATGAAATACATCACGTCATGATTTTTGTTTAACTACAAATAAGTGAAAACACCTCTTTGGAATATAATAGTTTAACATTATATTAAAACTCTCATCCTAAGATGTATTTTAATATTATTGCTGTAATCATGGTTGATGGGTGGCAGGGCAAAACTGTTATTTAGCACTCCAACATCCCTTACACTAGAACAAAAAAGCTGAGGTGATGCATTTAGCTGAATTGGATTACTAGATAATTCAGTGGATGAGATGTCTTGACAAACTCTTTTCACTTTTGCTTTTGGGAGAAAAGGAAAACTCCACAAATAGTTGCTGTATGCTGTAGAAGAAAGGTTGTTCTGGTATACACTGGCCGGATTCACTAAAGGATGATCCTTTAGTGAATCTTACAAAACCCTTATCTGTTCATCTGACAAAGCGCTCTCAAAATGTGAGTATTGATGGCAACTGGAAAGGTTGTCTGGCAGTCAGATAGTTCTGATTTTGCTTCCTACTAATCTGTGTGTTTGAATGTGAAGACATGCGTCACCAACCAGTATAATGACAAAAAGACAAAAAGAAAATGACCAAATAGTCATTACTCTTTGTCTAAGTCTAAGTCAACTTTTACATCCACATGTAAGTAGCTAAGAAAATTATTACTTTGGCAAAAAGAGTTTGATTCTCAAAGACCAGAACCTTTCTTCAACCAGAATAAACCAGAATAAAAGTGAAATAGTTCCTCCTGTTCCAGAGAACAGGAGGAACTGCAATCACAAAGAAAAGGGAAGGTCTGAGTTCAGCCTGATGATGGACTTAAGGCTTCAAATTCTATCTGTTATCCACAAATCATGTGTGAGGAGTAAGTTGCCATAAACTAAACATAATCTTCGTGTTGTCATTTTATGATGAGAATACAAAGCATGGCAATGTGTGACTGTATACCATATCCTGAGCAATATGCAAGTTTGACTTTATATCATATGTTCTTATTAATTATCCTCTAGATACAACAAATCAGATTATTGCAAAACTCTAATAAATGTAAGAACGGAGAACAGACTAAACCTTAATCCTTCCCTTTAAAGTTGGAAAACATCCTGAACCTGGTTCTGTTCTGATACAGTTTTTTTCTCATAACTGTGATCTGGTGTAAACCTCATGTTTCCTAATGTATTTTTTTTTTTTTTTTTTTTACAACATTCTAAAATACAGGCTTACGACCAGAAATGTCCTCAGCCCCATTACTGTGACAGGTATGATGTTTGAAAGGAAGGTCTGTTTTCTATTAGTTTTTCTTTTTTTTATCATTCAGCTTCCTCTAAGTTCATGTAAAGTACGTCTTAGTTTGCTAAACTGGCCTGGCAGCAAGTCACAACATCCTGGAAATGATGAGGAGCAGGTATGGAGGAAGACAGATTTATCATACCTTTTTGTCAAATGCTTTTCATTTCCTCTTTTTCATTTTTTTATTTGTCTATTGATGAGTGTTGTCTCATCACTAACTCTCTCCAGTCACAATAGAAATGGCTTTGCTGATGTTAATTCTCTTTCATTAAAGTTACATACTTTACTGTATGCAGTTGTCATTCAGTAAAGACCCCAGAAGCCACATTTTCCTTCGTCTAGTTTTAAAGCTAGGCCTGGCCACATGGTCAGGTTTTTTTTTATAGTTCTTTGTCTAAAGTAGTGATTTCTGTCTGGGTCTGGACATCATCTCCATGTGACATCACCTCCTTTCACCCTGACAAGAGTCAGATCAATGTAACACACTTTCATCTCACTCACAGTGCAACACAGGATACAAAATTATGTTGCTAAGCACTCTGGGAAATAGTTCCCACTCCTGTCTTTTTTCTTCTTTTGCTAACCTAAAAACTAGTTCATTAAACTGTTTTAGGTTTGACAAAATTGATAAAAAAGTTAACACAACATACTGTAAGTTTATTTTTCATGAAACACACATTTCAAAAACTTGCTAAATTTATTTGATTAAAGATTAAAATACAGAAGATACACCTAAATGTAGCTAAAATGTTTTACATTGTATTGAGGGAATTTTTTTTTACCATAACGTTGAACTATTTTGTTAATAAAGTGTGTGTGATAATTTTGATTTCTGTGTGATGAGTGTCTGCTCATCTGGTAGAGGTGAATTTATTCTGGCATGAGACTGGCATGTTTGGATAATTATCCCATCCAACTTTATTAATAATTTTCTTAATAAGGAATGATTTATTATAATTATTAATAATTACACAAGCTAAAGTTTGCTTCCCAACAACTAGCACTAACTTGGCACTGAAACCAGTTTGGTGGTGGTAAAGCAGCAGGGCAGGTGGCAGCCATGCCTCAGCTCTAATGAACAAGAAGTCATTCAAAGGTTAGAAATCATCATTCCAAAGATTCTTTTTGAAGATGTCAGCAGCAACTTCCTTCCACTACATTCATGATCAAACTGTCTCCCATTCTATACTATGTGTGACCTTCTAACACATATCCCTTCATTGTGTAATTCTTTATCAACACATTTTCTGTAGAGTGTGTTTGAGCTTACCTTGGAATATTGTCATCAACTGTTGCACATCCATAGAGAAACACAATGACCCCCACTAGTGATGCAGGAATAAGCATCTGGGTATACAGGCCCAACCAGGCAAAGTAAAGGCCAATTTTCTCACCAAAATATTTCCTACATGAGAGAAAGGAGAAACAATTATATTTTGTGACTTTTTACATATTTCTCTATTTGCTCATTGAAAATATAAAAGTGGGGGTTGCATTTCAATATTTGAATATAACTCATTGGGCCTCATTGGACCATGTTTTGTTTCCATAGACCTCAAACTTCAATAACAACAACCAAAAAGTCAGTATATGTAAATTATTAGAGTTTCCTGCTTACTTGGAAAGCCACTCATTCAAATTGAATTAAAGTCTCTCCTTTTTATTTTTCCAAAGAAAAGAAAAAAAGCACATTGGTAACAAATGTGCGTTTTATTCTTTCACTGCACTGAAATACTCCAGGTAAATCTTTATATCTGATGTGATAGGAAAAATGTATCTTGAAAGAAAAATCTCAACATAATAATAGTCAAGTTTATTTGTACAGCAAATTTCAGCAGAAAGGCAGTTCAAAGTGCTTTATGTCATAAAACCACAAAAATTCATAGTCATAGTCAACACATCAGAATGTTGACTAATGTTTAATTTATGATGTTTCAAAATCAACTCTAATTGCTTTTAGAGTTTATTTTTAATATGGGATTTTATGGTATCAAGTAAGGATCAGAGAAAAACACAATGATAGCATTTAGTGATATTTTCTTGAAAATTTAGTTGGATCTATAAAGTGGAGGTATGAAGTACTTATGTTGCATGAAGTACTTATGTTGCATGAACCAGGATGATGATGTTTAAAATCACTTGTAGTAAATTTCCCGAGTTTCCGAAAGAGAGGTACTTTAAAAGTACCATGGTCAAAAGTCAAAGAAAACAACAAAGACAAACCTTTCTCTAACTTGCTGATGGAATATAAAGAACTAAAAAAATTCTGATGGACTTGTTTTTAATTGCTCCCACAATGACATGTTCATAAATACAACCTGAACTGAAAACATTAGTCTCTTAACTCATTGTGTTTGCTCATCCTAAAGTGAAGGGTGGCATTGTTTTGTGAATGTAACCACCCCCACTAAAACCATGACCAACGCTACTCTGGGTGTTTTGAGTTATTTACAGATTTTGAAAGTGTGGATTCTAAGCTTTACAATGATAGCAAACACATGAAAATCACAAAAAGTAATTTTTTACAACTGCTCTGTGCACTAATAACAATCTACTACTAATTAAGAAGCATTGTCTGGCAAAGACCAACATTTTCTTTCAGCCAGTAGATAGTTCAACATAAATAATTTTATTTTAGGTGTTAAGATTCAGGTAGTCAGCGTGGGGCACAGTGCTGCTCACTGCCTCTTCAGCGTTATATTGCACTCAGCACAGTCACAGATCTAGATCTGTATGTCAGTCACATGCTATGTGTCATATAAATAATAATTTCCATCCATCCATTTTCTGTGCACCCTTCCTCCCTAACGGGATCGAGAGGTGCTGGTGCCTATCTCCAGCTGTGTTCCAGGCGAGAGGCGGGGTACACCCTGCCCAGTCTGTCGCAGGGCATAATAATAACATTGAAAAGAAAAGGTTCTCCAACTGATCCCAAAAATCTATCCACCGATATCTTCAGATTTTTCTGAGTGAGACAATTTTAAGTTATTTATCCATTATTATTTTTTGAAATCTTTGGTAAGCTAACTTTATGCGTCTCACCTTGATCCCACATCATGGCATGCAGTACATGTAGTACCCTGCGGACCACTTTATTATTAGGGACTGAATGTCCCTAATAATAAATTGTACACTATTTTCAATTTTCCTCAAAGATAAAAATAAGATTTGTAAGTGAAATGGTCCTTGGGAAACTTCTATCTGTGGTAATGCCAGCTAATGAGGGGTAATGTCAAAAACGTTAATTTTACATAATATTGCCCCTCCAACTTTTGAAGTAAACAAAGTAATAATCCAGGAATGGCTTCAAGCTGACTCACCTAACATTGACTGAAACTAACTGGTAAAAAATTAATAAACTTGAAGGACTAACATGTTTTGTGGCAAAGTTAGGATCTATACATTGTCAGATGATCCAAATGGAAGAGACACTGTTCAACAGAGATATAGATAATGCTTCTTACAACTGATTTTAAACACTTCTTTCCTCTTTCTTGAGTGTTGTTTCCTTTACCCTTATAGCATAAAATATCTATGACCAATAATCTTGTTTGTTTGTATATAACACGTAATCTGCATTATACCGTCAAATCCCAGTTTTTAGTAGCTAAAAATCTGAAAAAGGATATGTTTGCTTACCGAACAAGTCCAATGGGCTGGTACTTATAAAAGACACTGTAGTTTGCCCACTCCTCGTACAAAAGCTGTTGAGATATTACAAGAATGAGTTGTGTGTCAGGCTTTCTTCTTATACTGTTTGTCACAAATTTATCACTGTCTTCTCCAGACTTCTGTGCAAATAAGTCTGATTTATTCAGTGGGAGACTCAAACACGTTTTTTCACAAAAACTAAACTTTCTGACATATTTTTAAATTTTGATCCATCCAATAGATATTTTCTTGTAATGTACATTGGTATATCCAAAATGTTGTGTTATAATAGACTAAATAAAAGGAAATAAAGCACATTTTTGAAGCAAAGTTATGCATCTAAATTGTGATTTTCTCTATTTCTCTAATGCATATTTAGAGAAATAAAGGCTATTGAATTCAAAGTTGTAGTGTAGGATGTGTTACTATTGTCTTGTTGTCTTGTGTTTTTCATACCATCCAGATTACTTGTTCAGTGCTGTTTCAGTTGACTTTAAATGGTCAAATGGTGTTTCTGTCTGGTAAACAGTTTACAAAGTGAAGGAGAGTTCATTTGATTCAATTTAATTCAGTTTTTATATTGAATCGTTGTTGCACCAACACGCAACAAATGTAGTCCCAAGGAACTTTGCAAAAAAAAAGATTTTAATTCAAACGTACATACATTCCAACTGATCCGAGTTATCAACAGTTCATTAAGACCAATTAATCATTCAAAATAGTCTAAATTAGTATCTAAGGGAACCCAGTAGGATGCATGAAGTCATGCCTCCTGGATGAGAATGTAGCGACAGCATATAATTTGGGATGGCTTCATTTTGAATTGTGGTTCCTATGAGTAGAAAATCAATGTTAGAACTTTGTTCACTTCCCATACTGTACTCATGACTGCCTCTTATGGCATTGAAATGCAAGGCACATAGTAGTGCAATCAGAGTAAAACAAATACATTTTCTGTTTAAACAGTAATACAATAACAAAAAGTTAATAAAAGCCTTTTTTTCATTTTAATTGTCTTTTAGGACACTGGCTGTGGGATTGTATAACAGCCTTGTTGAGTATACTTTAGTGGAACAGTTTTCTGTTGACTAACCTGTTGAACCATACCAGATTCAGAAACATAAAGATGCTACAATCAATACAGCAAACCATACAAGTCTTTATTATTATTTATATTTTAAAAAGTCCTTATGAAGCAAAGTGCCATATTAGACAATGAATATCTGACAAAGACAAAGTCAGCCATCTACAGCAGAGGACCAAGTCAATAAAACATTGAGGCAAAAACACCAACCAACCCTGTTCACACTGCACCAAGTAATGTGATTCTAGAATCATCTACTTGAATACTTAAAAGTACACCGAAGAAAGGCAGACATACTCAACTGCATGTGACCACCTACCTAATCTAATTATCTTTATTGTGAAATAAAGTTGCTAAAACACTAACCCTCCTGAAAAACCACTTAATATCTAACACACACACTAAGGAATCTTTGTGTGTTTGCTTAAAGGGGGCAGTATTAGTACCATTTCAAAGCATAATCAGTTGTTATAAAAATGCTATGAAAAGAAAATATGACTTAAAACAATTTTGACTTTGTAATTTAACACCTTGAAGTTGGGTTTCTGTCGCTCTTAAAAACTCCTGCTTTTTCTGACATTTGCCCTTCAGGATGTCATCAAAATCACTCTTTATTAACCCTTAATGTTTTTACTTGTTATGCACTGAGAAGTAGCTCCTATAATAAGCTCAATAGATGTGCAGTTCCACCAGGTGTTTGCTATTTCCCGCTAGCTAGTCTGAGGTGGGTAAGGGAGATTTCGGAGGAGAGCTGCTCTTTGAGGCCAAAGCTCTGAAGCTTGGAGCCTGGAATCTGCAGCTTCCAGAAAGAGCTGTTTCTCGAAGTGGCATTTGGGCCACCCAGGCGGTTTGCACAGCTGTATGGCTGCCATGGGAGATTAAATGATTTCTCAAATATATACATGACTGAATTAAAGCAAGATCCCATGTTTGTTTTTGATGAGGAAATAACATAATAACATGATGTAAAGCTCAAAAAGCCTAAGGGGACAATATTTTGCAAAATACTGCCTCCTTAGGCATAGCTGGCTGAGAATTAGCAGTGATCTCTGTCTGTCACTCTCTCTTTCTGCAGCTCTGCCTAAGTCTCCCTTTCTCTTGCTCTGTATAAGATAGTTTATTTACTCCTCTGCCTTCTCTAACTCTAATTTTGTTGTGCAGCAATGATGATCAGTTATTATTGATGAGTGGATGATAGACATGTTTTTAAGCAGCACACTATATTTGATGCCCATCTGAAAACGTAATCTAATGTTTAAGATATTGTAACATTCTTACCTTCCTGTCATTGGGTTCTGCACTCTCCTCCTCAATGGCTCCCTAAGAAAATATGGTATAGTTATTTCACTGACTTCAGGCAGCAGAGCAGTACTTAACCATCTGAGATGTCAGGATTTGAATTAAGAACTGTTTTCTAAAGTCACTCTGCTACAGCTGATGTCTTTTATTGATTACAAAAGCTTAGCTTTTTAAAACAAATTCAAAGAAAACAAGGAAAAGGATAACTGGGACACACATTACTAAGAAGCTGGTAATCTTTCTAAAATTAAGAGTTTACGTTTATCCATTGTAATTTGGGATCACAGTAGACAATTATTTGATTCTGCTTTGTCCTCTGTAAGAATATACCAATGCTGAAGGACGTGTGCTAATTTCCATAACTGGGTAACCAATGATTTAAAATCCAAATGAAAAGCTTTTCTACATTTGCACTGCTTACGTCATGAAGAGGATAGGCTGCTGAATAAACCCCACTACCAAGGAGACTGGTGATCCCTGTTAGGCAAAAACAAAGAACAAAGCCATCTCAAGGTAGATACTCAAGACCACATGAAAAGGTAATCAGACATTTATTACCTTCATTTTTCCCTATTCTCTCTATAAAAATGCAATTTCTTTTATTACAACAGCAATCATTTAGCCTTAGACTGTTGCCATGAAGGGCATTTTGCCTAGTCTCCTTGTTCTTGAATCGTCAACTCTGAATTTAACTATGTGAAGTGAAGCCTGTTGCGTTGCTTCTTGGCTAGGTCAAGTTCATGAAAGACAACTGGTTCTTAAATATTTTTGCCTGTTAACATAAAGGCAAAATAAAATGTCATTTTGTGACCTCCTGAATGAGTTCTTGATGTTTTGTTGTAAAGTTCATATACCGTTCCATGTTTTCTCCATATATGACTAGTGGCTCACTCTGTATTTGTCAGGACTGCTAAAGCCTTAGAAATGGGTTTGTTACACTTTCTAGATTGATAGACAATGCAATTACATTGTGTGTCATCTGTTCTTGAATTTATTCAGATAATAATGTTTAACATTTTGAGATGCTGTAGATCTTAGACAGGTTCTCTTGAAGTTATTTCTTGATTTTAGAATCAGAAAGTAACCATACCTGTATGTTGCTAGTAAACTAAACCAGAAAAATGTAATTTGTCACATTTCAATTTAAGTTAATATGGGGTAGGTTGCTATTGAATGTTGCGTCCTGTCTGAGTACGTCTGTGAAGATGAATACAAGTCATTTTTAATGTGTTGGCAATATTCAGTGGAGCACATGAGATAGAACGGATCAGGAAAGGAACACTGCAGACATGTCAGAACCTTGATGACCCAAACATCAATTATCTCCTGAGATCAATATGGAACAGAACATTTTGTTATAATTTATTCAGTACTTTCTGTGTGTGTGTGTTTTTTTTTTTTTTTTTTTTTTTTTTTTAGAAGTGTGGATATAACACAATATTCAGTGATCACTGAGTAAATGTATTATTTCACTATTATTTCATTATTGTAGTTTACCAATTCGGATGACCTGACTTATATCAAGCTATACAAATAAAGAAAAATCATGTTAACCAAAAATGCGGCAGACAGAAACCTGCAGTCTCAGGGATCAACAAGGTTACTGAGGATATAATACTAGATAAATTTTTTATGTTAATATTCACTGGGAATTTTTTAACCTTCACCATTTTACTTTAAGAATTAATTTAAATTATGGTGCTGCACTTTTAGTTTTAGAAGTATTGAGATTAGATTACACTTTACATCTGCTGCATAAGGAGTCTGCAACCTGCTGCTCTGGAGATACAAGTGGCTTCTTGGCTCCCTTTACATATCAAATGATGAAATATCACCCTGATTTTTTGTTTCATTCTTTTTGGAGTGCCCCCCATAAAAAAAAAACCCTGACCACTTTTGCCCTTGTGGTAAATTTGGACCACAACCAGCATCCAAACCTAACCCCTTATTTGTGTAAATGTTTGGGATTAGTCTTTAAAATACCAGAATTCATACATAGCTTTATATTTTTAGCAGTCTGATGACGCAAATGTAAACATTAAACATTAAATCAAGTGTTATGATCAGTTACTGAGTACTTTTTCACAGTAGACTTTTTCACAAATATCGTTTACACTTGCTTAATTATAGCTAAAGTAATCTCTTGACTAGTTAGTTTTTACTTAAACTTAAGTAAAAACCTGTTTAAGGTATGATACCCCACTGTACTGTGAATGTACTGTGAATGACTGGTCAATTGTTTCTATTGTTTGTTTTTTGTTTGGAAAAAAACATAAAATAATACGACTGTTGCAAATGATGCGGGATGATGATGGGCAGTTTACAGCTTATAAACACTTTATATTAAATTATTGCATGAAAGAAAACATAAAAAGTGTTGGTCATGATAAAAGAATATTGTGAAGCAGAATAGAATTTTTTGGACTCACCCATGCTGTATTTAGCCTTGCATTTGGTTCTTTTTAATATTTCAAAAACCTAACAGGGAGTCAAACAAAGTTATAAAAGAAGAGCATTGAAAGCAGTAACACAGTTGCACACAAGTACAAACTGTCAGGACTTTAATTTAATAACAGAAAAGGACTTATATTCAGAAGTACTATCATATTAAAGAATATGATTTTATGGTATAGGCTGAGGAAAAAGTTAAGGTTTTGATATATTTATGACAATTTCTTTAGCTCATCTTTGAAAATCAATTAAGGTTAAAATGATTAAGTTGGGTCCCCATGTGCCAAATAGCTTCATCTCTTATTATTATTCATAATTGTCAGGTTTACTAACCTCTGCTTCATACTGTACAGTTCAGATGTAAAACAAACATGTTTCTTGAAGAACAGTCAAGTGTAAAATTGTTGCTGGGGACTTACTATGGAACTCCTGGTTTTGCTGTCAAAGAAGTTATCTTTATCTGAGAGGTCAAACCTGTTAACAGAGAAATATATATAAAAAATCACTTTGTGTTTGGCACAAATAATTAGTACAGTTGCAAATACAAATATCCACTTTTATCTTTTAAATGGAACAACAGGCTCCAGGATGTGAAAAAAGTAATTAAACAGCTGAATTTAAAGCAAAAAATTTCAAACTTTTATACAACTGATACCTGACAACAACTTGTCTGCTTAAGTCAGATTTTAATTCGTTTAACTTATTTAGTGCTATTTTCATCTTTCATTAAATGTACACAAGCTGTATTTCTTAAAGACAAAAATATACCAACATAATAATGACACCAACTCTGCTCTGTACATTGTACATATCTGTCTGTTCTTGTCTTTAGTAGACAGTATTTTATCCTTGGGATCACAGTGCTCATACAGCTGTCTCAATGTATGACAAATGTATGGTTAGCATAACATGGCATACAATCCCAAATGCATTATTTGATTCTCATAAATGATTGTGGTGTCAGCTGGATGGATTGCCAGTTTGACTCTTGGACTGCCTTTGAGGGTTCATTATAAATAAAATTTGTTATTGAAAAGAAACCAAAATATTAAACCAGTGCTCTGTAAAAGTGACTTTTGCAGTGTGGTTTACGGTTTTACATTATAGATATAAATATAAAGGTAATTAACTTCTGGCAACTTGTTGCACATTAGGGTGCAATTTCTATAAATTTGTACAATTTCTAAGATTTTCACAATAAAGTTCAGTGTTTTCTATATTTCATAACTGTAAAAACTATTTGAAATTTATGCTTTGGGAATATGCTAATATAATGCGTTCAGTGTTGCAGCCTGTAACTGAAGGTATTTCACAAATTTTTACTGTAAATTTTACTATTCCTTTTACAGTGTAGGCACAACCATCTGTTTGACAGGATCCTCACTTGTGTGTGTGCTTTTGTGGTTTCTGATCTCCTTCCACATCTGTTCTTTGTTGGAGATGTTAGACCTGTTGGTAATCTGCCAATGGTTTGCCTGATGCTCAATCTTTTTAGTAGAGTCAAGCCACAAAAACTTCTGAGCTCTCAGCTCAAGAGTTTATTTTATCTTTCAAGTCAACCTATCTTATTGTACCTCTTGCTCTCTCTGTGCCTCACTGTTTGAATCCCTATTGGTTTTCACACCAACTGGTGGACATCAATCACTCCACGATTGTCTCTGTCCTTCTTTCATTGTCAGCTGCCACCTGCCTATTTGTCCACTCTCCAACTTCCCTCTGACAATAACCATGAGTCTAACTATCTCTTAGAGAACTAAATATCAAGGTGGACTTACAGGTGTTGCTTTTCCCTGGAGAACGAGTGTGACAGGTGCTTGATGTTCTTGGAATGATGTTCCTCAACATTAGGGTGCAATGGTTCCAGCACTTTATTGACCAGTGAGCTGATTTTCTTCATGACATTGCTTGATTGTTTGACCTCATAGACCTAGAAAGCCAAACAAACCACACACCTCAGTCAGTGTTACATTGCTGCGCAAAACACTGTTTCCCAAGTACAACTACTTACCATATCAACCTAATAAGCTCAACTAGTTCCTCTTTGTCATCATGTAACATCTTACTTAATTTTCATTCTTTCACACAACAGACAATATCTGCCAATATATGTCAGTTAATATCTGCCAAAATGAACTTGAACATCATGCATGACTTTGTTCAGTCTCATTTTAAATTTGAATTTCCTCGTGTTTTGTTGCACGCTGACAATAACAAACTTGTGATTCTGATTTTAAAAAGGGTGAAAGTTCTTGTAAATTATGTTTTCTAACTTAGTCCTAAACTTGTCTGTTCCCAATTTAGCACATATAAAACATCCAGAGTGTTTCTCAGGTTTTTCTGCAATCTCAGATATTATTCCTGGCTGAGAAAAAAGCTTGTCTTGGACATCACACATTAGTAGCATACACCAGGACTGTCAGAATGTGCAGAGTTTGTTGATTTGGGATTACAGGTTTATCAATTATTTTCACAGTCCACAAAATATTTAATGGAATGAACACAAAGTCCTACTTCATCATAGTAAATATTGTATTGATATAGTTTGCAGCTTAAACAAATGGAAACTGCATGTGGTTCAAAAATTTTTTGTGCTTTTGAAAAAACATCTCATCTCATCTTAGAAGGGCAACTTCTTCCAATAAGCAGACATGTGAATGTCCAAACTGCTCAGGAATAATGTTGTAGTAACTGGAGTTCCCTTTTAGCTTGCCTCGTTTTGGACACAGCTGCTGGTGGAGTTGGTATCTTTCAATATCATGGTATGAATGTCGTATTACCAAACAACAGCCCTTATCTTTTGCAGTATTAATGAGCATAGTGTATGATGAGTGTAAACATTTTAAATAAATGTTAAGAATTAGAGCGTCTGTCTCAAGAATTAAGAATAGAATATATGCCACTGGGTATATGACAGTATGACAGCATATAGTCAACATGAGCCAATGTGCAGCCATATCGCCAGCAATCCACACCCATGAAATCACAGGTGTGCTTTGTTGACAATGCATACAATGGGAAAACTGATGATGTGGACATTTTTATCATGGTGATTAAACTGGGATAAATGGCAGGGAATCTTGAGATAGATTTTGGTCATACAGATTGGAGGTAGAACTTGCTGATACTTTCACAAGTTCTACCCTGTGAAAGTATTACTGAAGTTATTCTGGGAGTGACGTTTATTCAAGTTTTCAGCAGACAAGAAGTTGATCATCGTTTTTTTCAGCAAATTAGAAAATCAGTAAAAATTAAAAAGAAAGTCAGTGTCTTGAAGAACTTCACATTCTCTTGGAAAAAGATGCATTTGAGCATTGTTGTTCCAACTGTGTGTGTTACAGGCTTCCTTCTGAGGGAAGCAGGAGGAACTGTTTATTGGCTGGGTGGACTAAGTATCACATACTGTTGGATGCTGTGTTTCTCCTTCTCAATGGAGATTAATATTGCTGTTTAGGGATTTTTTGAAAACGTGTTGCAGCATTATTTCGTTAGCTCCAGTGGTCACAGTGAGAAGAGGAAGTTAATGTTCTTTCAACTCTAAAAGATAGATCTATTAATGTAATAACATCAGCTGTCAAGAAGTCAAACAGCAATATGCTGCCCTGCAGATGGACACAAATGGAGTGAATGACAGATGTTGCAGACAAACACAGACCACTTTTCCTTCAAAACACTTTTCCAAAGGTGCACAAGGATGGTACTTGATCAAAGCAGGTGATTTAAGTATCTCACTTCGATGAGGGAATGAAAGTGGACAAGAGGCACTTAGGTGTTCACAGCATAGCTTAAGATAGTTTGGCTGAACGAGATGTTACTGACTATCAACACCACATCAGTTCCTGAACTTAGTTTTCTCCTGGGATGTTGTTCAAGGCTTATATGTGTGGACTGAACCTCTCTCACTTTCACACTAAAAATGCATCTTCAATTCAACTTCATTCCATTCACTTATGTTTATGTAAAACATCAATTCACAACAAGTGTCATCGAAAGGCACACAAAACAAAGACTCTTTTTAAAATAACCTGACAAGACATATACTCTTATACACTCATAAGTGTTGAATCATTTTACTTTAAATAAATCAATGTGATTATATGCTTCCAAAACTGACTGAACAGCTTTATGAAACAAAGTGCTCTGAATAGATTTCTTTTTTTCCTTTTGTTGTTTTTAAATTATGTATTTAGTTAACAACTTTTAAGTACAAAGATAACCTCAATAAATACAAAAAGTTCTATACTTGAGATGCATTGTCAGTTTGACACTACTGATAAAAGTAATTAGGGGTTTTGCTTTGCATGTTTGTTGGAAACCTGAGATATGGCAACCAAAACTGTCAACAGAAACATCATACAGCATTCCCATTAGCCACTGCAGATCGATCACTGCAGGAATTAGCTGAACTTACCTTCTTTGTGGGCATCTTTAGCTTCATTAATTCAGCCTCTCGACAGAGAACATTCCAGGGTGCATGAATCTTTACAAAGCCCAAACCAGGAATCATGGCCTGCCACATATAAAGAAATTTGTTTGAATTTCATATTCTATACTCTACAGAATTTTTTGAATTATTAAAACCATATTTTAAATTGAGTTTCTTAATTGAAAATTATGATACTCTTCTCTTGCCAATTGTCTCATATCAGAAACCAAAAGATTACTTGTCATTGTTATGCAGACAATATTTTTTCCCCTATAACAGGAAGATCACTGCATAGATATTTTGTACCTTGGATTTAATTTGTTTCTGTTTTGATAATTTCATGGGTTCGGATTCTTTGAGGGGATTGAGAATAGCCAGCAACCGTCTAAAGGGTCTGATTCTGAGCTCCACCATGGGCCTCAGTCTCCTGAGCTGAGTTGGGTCTTTGACCTTCCTCTGCTGCCCACACCAGACTCCAGAGACTAAGCTGCTTCACCACTGGCTTCCAGTGCTCGTCAGTCATTGTCATCAGCCTCCAGTCTTACATTGACGACTTCCTGTGTCTCTAAGCCTACAGTCTCCAAGGTTCTTCTGCCGCTGCGCTGCCCTTCAGACTTCAAATTCCTTCTTTCCCAGCTTCTTGGATTTCTTTGCATTTGCCAAGAGCCTACAGGGTGCCTTGGGTGTCGATGTCAGTATGCTGATCATTGGCACAGCTTCCACAACTAGCCACTGTACATCAGGCTCCTGCACCACCACGCCTCTGGAGTCTTCAGCTGCTGCCATTTTCCTACAGTTCTCATCATATTTATGTCACTGATAAGTGTTTACAGACTCCCTGTGGGTTAAAAAAATACTGTAGATAAAAAAAACAACAATATGAGATTTCAGCCATGTTTCATTTTATTTTTTGAAGTTTGTGATTAGATAATGTCATTTTTGATTTAAGCATTTAATTACTTTGTTATTCTTGGTTTTTAAATGTTTCGTGTTTTGATTGGCATGTAATAGCATAGATTTAATATAATGCCATCACCCCTTTGAAACTAATTTTGTTAATTACCCTCAAGTTCCCTGAAGTGTTTATGCTCACCATTTAAACATGAGTGGAACCTCCCCCAAAATTAATTTCTTTTTTTAAATTGACATTTTTATAGAGGAAGATGAGGAGAGAATATTTAGCTTTGAGACACTGTTGCATGGGACTGTTGTGGTTCTGGTGAAAATTATGTTTCATAGTGAAACGTTTACATTTTCTGGTATTTCTACATGATCTACTGACTTTTGCCGTTATGAGTTTTTCTTATTTTATCTGAGCTTTGACCTCTTTTGGAGCAGTTTGATTTGTTGCAAACCTATTGTGCAGCTCTTGTCTAAATAATCTCTAGATGCAATTCCATCATTAAAATGAGGTTTATTGAGCTGTGGGAATGTTTCTGTATTTTTTTATTAAGCTGCATTGACTGATTTACCAGTGTAAAATGAAGCATGTACAGAGATCAGAGCAAAGGTGACAAAAGTCAAAATGTAAACTCACTTCCTCATCCTTTTCCAGCTCTAGTCCCATTTCTTTCAGATTTTTCTCAAACTCCTCCCTCCTGAATGTTTTGTGATCCTCTTGGGTGTTAAGTGTTTCTCCCAGACATCCCATTTCCACATCAGCCACTGTGGATGCACCTTGGACCTGCTTGCTTTGTCCTGAAGTGCGGGAAGCAAAGTTCTCTGTGAGACTGTGGTCTGACTGTCGACTGGAGCGCCCTCCACCTGACTTCCTCACAGGGTAGGTGAGAATGTAGTCGACACGCCGCTGACCATCCTGGAAGAAAAGTCCATGATAGCAACTGGTGCTTTCCTCTAGACTGAGAGCCTGAAATCAGCAAACACAAAACAATGATAGAGAGGATGGAGTAACCAGATTCCACACTGCAAAAACAGTGATTCTTTTTCTGGATTCTTGTGCAAATATTTTAAAAGACTTTAAGACAGACAAACTAACTTTCAAGTAATGTTTCAGAAAAATATCAGAAGTTTCCTTTAAGTAAATAATTTCTTACTTTTGCTGAAAAAGTGCTAGTTTATTTGCAGATTATTTTACTGATATGCTATAACTAAAATAGTCTGCAAGTGGAACTATTACTTTTCCATCAGTATTAAGGAATGATTTACTCACGATAAGCTCCCATGTGTGAAAAGTTACTTGCAAGAATACTAAATTATTCGTCCTAGACAGAAAATATTTGGTGAGATTTTGGAGAAAACAAATATTTAAAAAAAAAGCATCATTGTTTTGTTCTGTTTTGTGCCTTGTCAAATTCTTTCAAGAATAACCAGGACAGAGTCGAAGGAAAATGTTGCTACAGTGGACATGAGTAGATTTGAAATATGAGTTTGTTGAAGTAGTTCTGACTATACCTGCAGAAGACAGGCAGCTTATCAGGGGAAAGTCCTGTAATGAAAGAAGGCTATTCTCATTGTTATTAAACAATTATTTACTGTGTTTTCTCAGCCACATGTATTAGTTACTGGATGCATCGAGATGAGCTTGGGCTGCTGTGTGTGTCAGTGACACCTGGACATTTTACCTTTCTCAGGATATTTTGCCAAAACAGCTATGAACACATAAAAGTGAATGATACAACATCCACATTTGAATGGAGTAAAGCATAAACTGGATGTGACTCTGGCTCCTTCAAAGACAGCATCAGACAGAGAAAACATATGAGGAAAGTTCAAAGAAAACACAGCAGCCTGTGGTTTCTACCATGAGTAGATTAAAATGACACGAAGTCTTAGTCAATCCAGGCAGGATGCCACATATGTTCATTGCTGCATATATTTACAAAATAATATAATTATGCAGTGGAAAGCTTTAGCTTAGTAGCTTAGCATCCTTAGTAAACATAAACTGGTAATATGTACTAAACAATAGTCCTAGTCTAAAGTTTTGAGGTTTATAGGAACTGCTACAGTCACGGTTCACATGGGAACAATGCTGTTTTATCTGTAAATTAAATATATTCAGACAGTCAAAGAAGCATTGACATGTGTTAAATGTGTTAAATGTGACATAACAGTCTTTATTGCATGTTTTTAGAGAATAAAGAAACAACCTGTACACCCAGAGAATCTGGTTCTTTAAAGTATCCCATGTTCATGTTTGGCTTTGAGTCTATCTGGCTATATATATATATATATATATATATCTTCTAAATTATAAAGAGACATTTCTTATGAAAATATTAGATTAAAGACATAGTAGATGTAAATTGATGGTTTCCAGAGGTCAGAGATCATTTGTGTACCAAATGAGTGAAGGCCCACATCATGTCTGGCATGGCCCTTCCTAGAAATTCTAGGACATATATAGTAAGTGAATTATGAGCTGTCATAATCTCTGGCTTTTACTTTACGATTTCTAAATATAAATCTACATCTGAAGACCAGCCAGACAGCAGCTGGTTAACACTGACTGCTTGGTGCACAACTATAAGTCTAAAGTGTTCACCAGGTCTGTGAAATGCAATCTGATAGCATTCGAAGGTGAGATCCATCCAGACCCTTATCTCTGGGGAAAAAAGTATCAGCTGCTAACATCCTGGTGCAAGGAGCACCAAGACATCCTCATATGTTCTTTGTGCATTTTTTCACAGTTTCACTGCATCTCAGTCACCAAAAGAAAGTCATTTAACTGACAGGTACATTGATTCAGACTCTGAGATCTAACATTTAGAACAATTTTTACCCTTGATGTTAATTATCAATTTTATTTTCTAGATATTTCTTGAACCTAAAATGCTCACAGCTTCTTGAGCCCGTTTTAATTTCAAAGCTGAAGCCCTGATTAGTAGGTGACTGGAAGTAAAAAGGGAAATTGTGCAGCACTTTCTAGGCATAGTGCTGGCTATGATGTTTAGGTCAAGTGATTGTACACAAATTTATCTAGCAATAAACTCAACATCAATAAGTGTGTTTGGAGGTTCCCTTTGGCAATTTCTCTATTTTGTGCTTCAGCTGTGTCGCTTGGGCGGATGTGCAACCATTTTTTCTCTTGTCATTATTTACTTTTATCCTTGCAATGTAGAACAAGTTTTCAAGAATTCAAAACAAATTTAAGTTCTTATTTGTCAGTTTTAGCAGCTAAGGTGGCTAAGTATTTTTACTTAGCCACCTTAGCCTACATTAAAGTATTTTTTAGAAAAGACCTGTAACTGAGGCCGGGTTCACTGTCCATCAAAACAACAACTATAAACAGCCAAAAAGATGATGTGGATCAGTGTATATTCATGGGTTAGACATGTCCAGTCAATATCCAGCCTTAGATTGACATGCAGCAAATTGTACTCTTCATAGATACTCTGACAACACCTGTAATATTTTGCAAAGAAAAATGGTGGAAAAAAATTTCAGGTTCCAGTAAATTCAAAGTTGTAACTGTAATGTTTAACTGTAAAAATATTTAAAAGCAATGCATAATTTTTTTCCACAACAAAATCAAGAAAAGGTCCAGGAGTGTGAAAACGTTTTCAAGACACCGTATGGGAAACAGAGAAATAACCATGCATTCCTATGCTTACCCGTAAAGTCAGTATAGACTAACTAAGCCATCACCTTACAGGTTTCCATAGAGTGGGAGGAAACCAGAGCACACAGAGGAAACTCAAGTATCAGAAACTTTTAAAACGACTTCATCCAATCATTCAGACTTTAGTGTCATCTCGTGGATACTCCCAATATTTTGTTTATGTGACGTGTTATATAAGGGAACCTCAAAAGGTCATTTTTAAACTCGATGGACTTAGCCCTCCTGTTATGTTGTGGGTTAAATTAACCCATTTTAAGGTTGATATTTTTTTAACTAGTTGGAAGTAATTTTTTTGCATGAAACTTTTTCTATTTGTCTTAATAGGTGCACTCTACATATAAATTGAAAATGTATTCATTTTACTGATTTCAAAACACCCCCTGTGTCTTACTTTTTACATAGATACTGTTAGGGTCAATTTGACTCAGCAGTCAAGTTGAAGGATAAAAAAGAAAAAAAAGAGTCCAATTCTATATGTTTCCTTGCAGCTACGAACCATATTTCACTCCACACACACACAAACACATGCACACCACACCACATGCATACATGCAAATGTGTACGCACACAAGCCTACTTTCTCACTACTCTCTTTAATTCACTAGGAAACTGCAAGAAAGCAGGTGTTCATACAACTTCTCATGGGAACCTTTTCTGATTCCTGTCAAAAGTTCACTCACAAAGCAAACTTACCTCACAAATATTGAATGAAATGGTTAATTCTGGAGTTAATAATCAGATACAAAAATGTATTGGAGGAATTTTTGGTTTCTGACACTATTGCATGATTAAACACTCAACAGGTCAAACTGACCCACAAACATTATTGTTGTATCTCAGAAATGAACAAAGCAGGGGGGTTAACTCTTGTTATGAGAGATGAAAACAATTTTCATCTCTCAGTCAGGAAATCACAGATGGCCAAAAATAGTCACAATTTTATATTTAGTCCAAAACAAACCATTTTAGAAACAGCATGAGCTTTGTCCTTCATTTATTTAAATGCTAAAAGGATTGTATGTCCTCCTATTAGCAGATCTCTCTGAGTCTAGCTGCAGCGGTAATCCAGTTTTTGTGGAGTTTGTATGGACTGTCAAGAATGGTGTGTTGGCTGCAGGTATTTGAAATGTGAGGTTGAATGTCAACAAAACAACAAAATCTCTGAGGGTGCAGCAGGGGTTCTCAGTAGAACCAACACTGTCTGTGAAATAATGACAATTGACTGGGAATCAATACCTATCAAAAATAAATCCAAATTAAAAAATACTTCAAAGGAAGAATCTCTCTTATCATCTGGAAATATATTGTCTTTCTTATCTCCTGAAAGAGATGCATCATTAATATTTTTTGGACAGATTTATATTTGTAAGACAAGAACATTTTGGATCAAAAAAGTAAAACAACAAAAAAGAAACATCAACCTGTTTATGTAGTATCAGAGCAATTTATTTTGTCTTCTTCATGTTCTTACTACTTAAGATGATACTCACCTTAAACTTGCCATGAAAGATGACATCTCGTAGAAAATGTTGAGTGGACCCAGAGGCTGATGACTGCTGAGGTTCTGAGATTGCTTCCTCTGTCATAGTTTAGGCAGAACAGAGACATAAACCCACCAGGAAGAAGGTTCCGAGCAAATATTCTACTTTGTGCTCTATGAGTTAATGTGTGTCTTCTGTGTAAAAGATCCAGTTACAGGACAGTGCATGAATAAACCTTATGCTGCCTCTCCCTTTTTCTAACTCGCAATTTTTCCGTGCTTGTCTCCGTTTAGCTCTCTGTGTGGCTGTGTTTCCATCTGGAATGTTGAGTCGCTGTAGTGAGTCTCCAGCCTTGTTACTTGAGACACCGTCTGTGAGCCAAGATCTAAACTTAGACAACGATAAACCTCTGAACAGAAAGTTCCCTCCCTCACTCTCTCTGCATTTCCTCAGTTGTAATAATTAAAGAATCGAGCACCTCAAGACAAAGCCCACTTCTCTCCCTGTCTGGCTGTCTACTAATGGCAGCCAAGATGAAATGGGATGTGAGATGTAGAAATTATTTTGAAAAGAAACTCTAATAATCCTCAAGAAATATTTGCCCCAAAAAGCCCAAAGTAGCAAATTCATATTTTAGGAATGAACTTCTACACTAAAATGTATTTCAAGCTAATGTTTCTATTTTTATTGATCTTATTTCAGGTCATATATGACTCACAATGTTTTCCTCTTTAGGTGTTTGGGTTTGAGTTTACGAATCGAGATAAGAATTGTTTTTTGTTATTTTGGGTGTGTTTCATTGTTGTCTACTTTATTCATTGACATTTTTTTCTATTGTGCAATGTTAGTCTCAATTTTATAACATCAAATTCAGATTATATAATTTACATATTAAGCAATACACAATAAGCCCAACAGAATAAGCTTTCATAGATGCAAATAAAGTGATGAAAAAAGACATCTGGAATGACATACACAACTGACATGTTTCACACATTCACGCTGCCAGGGATGCTCTTTACTTCCTGTAGTGTCACCCCATCAAGGGCCATAGTGTCATAGCTGGAAAGAATTGCTTACCAATTAATTCCTGCAGAACATGCAAACTCCAAATTGAAAAAATACAGACAGTGGAAGGAATTACACTGCACTGTTGAATTTACAAAAATAGGGCATAAATGTAAAAAAGTAAAAATATAGCTTGATGTCAAATAATTTACAAATAATTTTTGTGATATACAATAAACCATAGAAGTAGAGTGTGAATTCTTACTGTAATGATTATATGACATTACTTACAAAGGTTAATAAGCATAAACTCAGAGTAAGAGAAGACCCAAAGATTTCCACAAAAAGAACTGCTGTTGCCGGTATTTTTTGTAGTTATTCTTTATTAATATTTTGAAATAAATCTTATGGAAGTTGTTAGATTTATTACCAGTATTACAGTTCCTAAAGTGTAACCTCTTTTTCTGGAATAACATAAAACTTAACTTTCTGCTTGGAGTTTTCTAGTTGAGAACAGATCATCCATTCTATGGTCAGCATCTCCAAGTAATAATTCTATTTGCCTTGTAAGCAACCATCACATTACTTAATGAGGAGCAGCTGTGCCCAGCATGAAGGAAAAGACTGCATGCTAATTATTAAAAAAATACAAAAACATTCAAAAAATAATGAAAACTTGCTTTGTGTAAATGATTATTGTCAATGTTTTAAGTGCAGAGGTCAATTACATGTGTTTAAGTGTTTGTTATAAAGGACAAATGTGCTCCTACTGTGCTGTACAAAATACCACAGCAGAAATGGTACCAATAACCAATTAGAAAGACCTCTTTATAACAGGCTGAAAAAATGGCTAAAGTGCATATAAACAATAGCTATATCACAAGAAAAAAAATCAATTGAAGGTTTGTTAGCCTGGAACAAAAAACTTCCTGAAGTCACAAACATTTCTTGAAGTTATCATTGCCCACAAACATTCCATCAAATATAAATTAAGTTACAATAATTTGTGAAATTATTAGTAATATGTTCTTCCACATTTTTAATATGAAAGAACATATAACTAGTTAAAGTAGGTGCAAAAACATTACTTCTACATACAGACATTTGCGTGCCTGAGTATTGAATTGCATTATGTAATCAGTTACTGTCCTTTGGTTCCATGTGAGGGGAAATAGTGCACATGTTTCTGGACAAATAGGATCAAACACACTTTAACACAGCTGAGAAAGACTTAAATGAGTCTAACTCCTTTATCTCCCCCACTACTACTTTATCCTGTCAAATAACAAATATATCAGAGATAGAGAGACTAAAAGTTGAAATCAGGCTTAGAAATTGTAAAAGTTCAAACAAATCCTCCTATGCCAGCCTGAGAGGAAACAAACATTTTTCTTTCATTTGATAATTCTGTATTACTATAGACTATGTCAGAGTTAGGTGATTAAGCAAAAAAAAAAAAAAATAAATCAATTTCAATCTAAGAAGGCCAACTCTAGATATTAGACTGTAGGGTGTACTAGTGTCAGCATGGTATTTGTTTTTAGCTTGTGAAAGTTAGAGCCTTTCTTAGTTGACTCAAAGTCTTCTGAAGAGAAATGTTCAGGTCACAAATATAGGTCCTTTGGAAGTTGTTTTTGGCTCTGACTCTCTCCCGATGCGCACTTCTTCTTTTTTTTCATGTGGGAAGTGATTCAGATTCATCTCACAGTTTTTGGTTTTTTTTTTTTTATTACAGCCATTAGTGTTATCTAAAATTACACCAGTTAAACACAACATGAAGAACAACAACTCAAGTAAAGTTAGCCAATCTGTAGATCCTAATACAAAACAGACCTGATGGGTTGATGACGTCATCAACCCATCTGTGAAAAGTGATTACCTCCAGGGGTTAAAATATGTAACAAAAGATATACATTTGTAAAGTAATTATGAGTTTTGGCATATCACAAACAGCAATTTTTTAGTTAATTAAAAAATTACAACATAGTTAGCCCAACATGTTCATCTCATCTTGGATCACTTTAAGAGATAAATGAAAGTAAAGTTTAGCCATGGGGCATCCTAATCTCTCATTTAAGAAAGGACAAAACTTTCCTAATTTAACATTTTTAGTTTCTTATTTCTAACACAACTGTTTGTTTATAGACAAAATTATCATACAGGGTGACTCCAAAACAAATTGTGCTCTGGGAAGGAATGTGAAAACAAGATATGGTGAAGAGAGAAGACTTTCTTTGCTCTGTTGCTCTTTTACTATGACAGAAGTCACAAGTGACTTCTTTTTTATTGGTGTTGGCTTTTAGAAGGAAAGCACATCCCTGAGAAGCTGATGACATTTCTCTCAAGTATATTTAAAATTGATCAAAAATATTACACTGCATAAATCTCCCTTTGTGAAGCAGTTCCAGGAAACTATTCCATTTTCTAAGACTGTTTATTTTAAAAGAAACAACTTCCAGAAAATTTTTGCGGAACCTCTCATTCGTAACATTTAATCCTCCAAGCTTATATAACATAACAGAAACATCCGCTTGTCCGCATATTTTTAGACATTTTAAGAATCATGCAAAGGAAGGAAGTGGAGACCTTCGAGCCCAGGCTGTCAGGCTCCCAAAGGATAACACATGTTTGATGAGGAACAACATTTAGGGTTCAAAAGTCACTTCTCACAGTAAACAGAACAAAGTGGTATTAGTGTTCAGATACAGTTCCTCAAGTTTTCTAACAGCAACATTTAGGACTTTATGAACTGTTGTCCAAGTATATTAATGATTTACATTTTAAAATGTCATTTTTATTGATTTGAATCAACATGTAAAGATTTAAAGAAAATAGATAATCTACTTTAACATGAGATACGGAGTTTTATTTAAAATCAATTTCTATTTGCGGTACAAGTAAACTTTCTTGTATAGTCACATGTATTAATTGTTACAGGGTTGAAGGCAGGTTTCCTGTTAAAGGTTCACATGAAAATAGCAACAGAATGTGGGTTCTGTGTGTCTGAAAGCCCAAAGTAAATCAACAAATTGCAACCATGTCAATTTGCAGCAAATGTCAACAAAGCTTAATTTGTGAAACTATGCTTGCTCAGGAAGTAAGAGTTCATTGTTTAACCCGTGGGTTGGCAGTTCGAACCCCACTCCGTCCATGTTGTGTACAAAACACTTCTCCAACCTTGCCTGCAGGGAGAGGTCAGAAGCACCAATTGTAGGATTGTTGTGTGCAGGACAGTGATATGGCTAAATGTTGATGCATATCACTTTTGCATTTCACCTTAGATGTATATCTTAAAGGAGAATACTGATGCATATTGCAGTCATTTTAGAACACAATTCTTATTATTACAATTGTTATTAAAATGTTGCATGTATTAAATATAACCTAAAAGAAATTTGAGCGTGAAACTTAACACCTTTTCATAACAACCTTCAGTAGTTATGAAAATTATGTATACATCAAAAATAACTTATAACAAAATCGATTGGGTATCATAGCTGTATTTGACACCTTGAAATTGGCCAATGTCTCTCTAAGATCTCTTTCCGACACTCCTCCTTCAGCACATCACAACTGTGGGTCTCCATGATACTATTTTCAACCGTATTGCATCATCACGCCAATAATGCTTATGGTGTAAAAGAAAATATATCTATTTTTTTTGTTGCCTCATTGCTGAAAGGTGCTATGTAGATCAATGTGATTGATTTATATTAAGCATATTTTCTAAATGTCATTCACCTTGGAAACATTGCAAACTTCGGGCTACACTTTCTTTCACAAAAGCAGAAAAACTTGTCAACTGGTTTTGTCTCATCCAGTCTTCATTACTGTATTATATTATTATTGCATTGTATTGCAGTATAAATTATACAACATAAATTATATAGGATAAAGGACACATAACTGTCAGGTTAATATATCTTTCCAAATTCTCAGTAGGCGTGTGCATGTTTGCACAAACCCACACTACCACTGAGAAGCCTTCAGGAATGGCTACAATGGTCTGTTTACTAATAACTGAAAACATACACACACACACACATGCACACACACCCCTACACACCCGCGCGCACACACACACACAATAGAGATATCAATTAATATGTGGCACCAACATGCTTCAGTTGTAAACAATTGAAAAAAAAAGTTTCCAGATTAAAAGTCCCTTTTTAAATCAAAAACCTTAAAGTAAATGGTTGACTTTAGCTTTCCAACATCTGGGTACACCATGTTGGTGTCAGTATTTGCAACAATGAAGTATGTAATTTAGGGTATGAATTTTCAACTAAATATCTGCCAAATAGCTAATTGGGCAGTATTGTGTGTTTTCCAAGCACATAGTGCCAT